TGAGACAGGGTCTCACTATGCAGTTTAGGCTAGGCTTGAACTCACTTTGTAGCCCAGGCTGGTCTTGAACTTGCAAGGTTCGTCCTGCCTCAGCATCTTATGACTGGGATTGCAGGTGTGTGGCACCACACCCAGATAGTTTGTTTTTTTATATGTATAGGTTCATTAGGAAAATGTTTTTGTTTGTTTCTTTTTATTCCATAAAATTGGTCTTGGGGCTAGGGATTTAGCTCAGCGGCATAAGCGCCTGCCTTGCAAGCAGGCAGTCGTGAGTTCGATCCTTGGTACCGACAAAAAAAAAAGAAAAGAAAAGAAAAAATTGGTCTTTTGTATGGCCAACTCTTAACCCTTCCTGAATCTTTCTCTTATTATGTGGCAGTGGTGGCAAAGCTATGGCACGTGTGCCATAGCCAGCTGTTTGTATCACTGAAAGTTCTGAAAGGTTCACCATCACTATACAAAGGTCATTTTCATCCATTACCTTGGTGACTTGATTTGGTTTTGTGAATTCACCAATCTGCTCACAACTCCCACGCTTAGTCTTACCTCTCCTGTAAACTCCAGATCTATATAGCCAGTTGTATACTGAACTAATAGGCGTCTTTTACCTAGTATGCTCAGAAAGTTACACCTCCACCCCCCAGTGCAGTAGGCCAAACAGTTTAGAAACATCCTTGATTTCTTTTTTCTTTTCCTGCCTTGACCAAGCCACCATTCCCAAACTCCCTCAGCAGCCTTGACCCCCTGGTACTGGCTGCCAAGAGCCAATCAGGTCTTTTCAGAACATAAATTTTTTTTATCCTACTACCTATGCCTTTCTCACATTTAGAATAAAATCTAGTGTCCCTGTCATGTTGTGGAAACTCCTAGACACTCTAGTAGTCCAGTGATAGTGAACCTTTCAGAGCTTTCAGTGACCACAAACAGCTGGCTGTGGCACGCAAGCCATCGGTTGGACACCACCAGTCTAGTCTAATCCCTATTGCCCTCGTCCACCTCATTTCACAGCACTCTTGCTCATTTTTGTCCCAGTAAGACTGGCCTTGTCACTTAGGCACACTTTTGCATTTGTCCTTTTCCTCATCAAGACACCCTTCATTCTGATTTCTGCTTCAGTGTTACCTTCCCAAAGAACCTTCCCTTGCCTGACGTCAAAATAACAGGCTCATACTTGCTGACACTCGGATCTCGTTTCTTTGTAGTGCTTGTTTTGCTTGGCAGTGCGTTCCTTACTTAGGTGTTTAGTTTGTCTCTGCAGAATGAATGTTAGCTCCATTCTCCGAGGTCAGAGACTGCTGTATCCCCAGGGCTTACAGTGTGGGTTTTCCTGCTCAGATGGCACAGAGTCAGCCATCCCAGTTCATTCCCCACTGCTCACTGTATAACATTCCTATTTGTGTGACAGGGCTGTGTACTCTGACAAGGGGTTTGCCTGTGGGGCAGTGAACATAATTGCAGGGATGAGAACTGAGGTGGATGTGCACAGGCTTGTCTTTCTAGTGGGAAATGTCTTTGCATCAGCCAGTTCCTCTCTGCCTAGCATCACTTGGGAACTGCATGAGGTAAAATAATGAAATCCACATCAGAACTGTAGAACAAACACATCATGAAGCTAATCGATGTAATTTAACAATTAAACTTTGGCTCATTGCCTGAGTTTGTTTCTGTCACAAGATGAGAGCTTATACCGCACTTCTGTAGCCCATATGAGGCTGAGGCAGGAGGGATTGCCCGAAAGCTTGAAGCCAGCCTGAACTGCTGCATAGTAAGACCTTGTCTCAGAAAAAAACTGGACATGCTGGTACATACCTTTAATGCTGGCACTCAGGAGACTGAGGCAAGAGAATCACTGTGAGTTCAAAACCAGCATAGGCCACATTGAGTTTAAAGCTATCCTGAACTACATAGCAAGACCCGGTCCCAATAAATAAAGAAAACGCAAGTGAGCTCGTACTGTGCTCATCAGTGTGCTTCTGTGGGTGTTAACACATAGAAAAAGATGCCTGAACATGACCAATTCTCTTTGATGGCTTTGGTGTTCTTACTGTGAGGCTTTGCCAAACTTTTTAGCATCATATCCCTGTTTCCTGAGTTCCTTTACATGGGATTGACTCTGGTCTCATTTATGGACATTTTCAGCTGCTTGGTGTGCCACATTTTAAGCCAAATAGTGGGGTTTGGGGTTTTATGTAGCTTAGTGGTAACATGCAAAAAGCTAATGCAAAAAATTCTTCTATTTTTATTAGTTTAGGGTGGGAATTTTCCCAGATGAGTTATCTTTAGATTCTGCTTCTAACTGAATTAAGAATTGGTGATATATGAAAAACTCCAGTGGCCAGTAATTTAAAATTAACAAGTCATAGTAAATGAACTTAAACACTCCTAATTTTTCAAAGTATGTTTGTGGTATGCAGCACGGGAAGGGAGTTTAGCAAAGAAAAGTAGTGATTTTGAGGTATATGTCTCTGTCCTGGGAGGTTTGGGTGGGGAAATGCCCGAGGCAGACACTGGGGTTGGGGGGAGATACTGCGGAGCCCTGAGGGCCAAATCTTTGTGTTCCACAGGATCATGTTCTCATTGAGCTCACCCAGGCCGGGCTGAAAGGCTCCACAGAGGGAAGTGAGAGCTATGAAGAGGACCCTTACTTAGTGGTTAACCCTAACTACTTGCTTGAAGACTGAGATGTTGGGATTAACTGACAAGAGTTAATGGACTGAGGAAAGGACCTTCTGGATGTGGCTCTGCCAGAGAGAAGAGTGTTTGTTTTGTTTTGTTTTTAATTACTATTTCTTTTATTCATCAGAATAAAGTAACTTGTTCTGAAGTCTGTTGGATTTATTTTTATTCTGCTTTGATTATTGTGTCCATCATGGTGGGGAGGGTGCTTGTTTTTGAGACAGAGTCACTATGCAGTTCAGGGTGGACTTGAACTCACCATGTACCTCAGACTGGCCTCGGGCTCTCCGTGATCCACCTGCCGCAGCCTCCCGAATGCTAGGTTACAGGTGTGTGCCGCCACGCGGCCAGCTGCATCCTTTAACTTGTGAACGAGTCCCTTTTTGGTAATCTGGTATGTAAAGATGGAAGTACGATGTAAAGGATTTAAAACTGGGTTCCTGTGATGAATCAGAATAGAATGAAAGCTAAAGGACTTGGCAACTTTCTAACTTAATTTGTGTCTTTCTTAAAGTGGTTTATACAAAGAAGTTTGTTTATTACTCTTAATTTTTTTACTTCTCTGTCTTAAGCAGTTGGTCAGAATTGTTTTCAATTAGGAATAATGTCACTTTATATCACAAGCTGTCTACAGATTTTCTGACTTTTTCTAGGGAAAAAAATTAACTTTTTTTATACTAACGGCTCTAAGGTTTAGCTGGGATCAGTGTATACTCATGATGTCATCTTACTGTTTCAGCCTTTAACAACAGATGGCAATCTGAGCTACTCAGGAGGCTCACTGAACTCCAGAGTGGGGACCAGCCTGAGAAAGGTAGTAAAAAAACAGATACTGACTTGTCTGGCTGGGGACGGTGGCGGAGGAGGGATGAAAAAGGAGAAAAATACACAGGTGTAGGCCATGATCTCGTCAAGTATATTCAGAACAAAGGCCTTGCCAGTTGTGACGAGGGAGCCTCAGGGTACAGGATCTCAGAATTCCAGCCTACAGACAAAAGTGTGCAACAAGAGCCAGACAGGATGTTCTAGGAGATGGCAAGAAGGCCCTCTCCACTTACATTAAGTAGAGCTTTTGCCACACTAACTCGGACTTAAGATGGGGTAGAGAGTCCTTGGAACAAAACGGCTTATTTGACTGGAACTTGAATGTCACTTTTACCAAATATTTACCCAAGATAAAAACCCAGGAAAAATGCCTTCCTTTCTGGTGAACTTGGCTCCTTCCTTACCCTGCTATTACTGAGAGTGAGGCCTTGGAGAGCAAGGCAAGATCATTACTGCCAGTGTCTGCTTCACACTTCTGAGTGTGTATACAGTGCTTCATATCCACAGTTTCCTTCATGTACCTGTGAGGGAGGTGAAGTGGTTAGTGGATAGGGGAGCATGTAGTACAGTTAGAAACAGCAGCTAAGTTAGGGAGAGCATGGTGACACACCTCTGTAGTCCAGCACTTGCGGGCCAGAGGCAGGAGGATTTCCATGAGTTTGAAACCAGTGGTCAGCAAGACCCTGTCTCAACCAAAACCAAAGAGAAATGGGGAGAAGTGTGAGCCTCTCTTGTCTGCCTTCAAATGTAAACACAGCACCACACCAGTGATATTTCAGATTTAAGTCTTAGGTGCCCAAGGCAGTAGGTCACTGACACCAGTGAGAGACTAGGGAGGCTCCTAGGATAAGAGGTGTCTGACCTTTAAATACTGGAAGCTGGGTCCCTTTGTTTACTTCATCCTTTTATCTGTTCCCAGTTCCTGCTGCTATCCCTGTGATCTTCAATGAATATAGCCACTGCTTTGGGCAGTAGTGCCTGCCTGGAATCCCAGCACTTGAGGCTGAGGCAGGAGAATCATTGCAAGTTCAAGGACAGCCTGGGCTACGTAGAGCTTGTCTCAAAAAAAAAAATAACTACTTCAGCAATTCTTTTCCTTGTCCTCCACAAGAACCTAGACTGTTTTTGGCCCACTCAACTGTAACGTATGAAATTTGATGAAGCAAATTAGATGTGTATAGATAGTATTCCAGAATGTAGAATGTTGTAATTGATTATAAATTTAGTACATTTTCAATCAAATCCCAAAAGATGTCCATCAATAAGGAAATTACACTGGGGATTTAGCTCAGTGGTTCAGCACCTACCTGCCTGGCAAGTGCAAGGTCCTGAGTTCAATTCCCAGTACCAATAAAAAGAAAAATAAGGCAATTACTATATAATTGTGACATAGCTATGTTGTGGCATGTAATATATATATATATATATATATATATATATATATATATTACAGGAATGGATGGATATATATATATATATGTAAAATGAGAGAAGTCTGGTCTGAGTAAAAAGTACTATACACAGGTATAGAAACTAAAATACTGTGATACTGTCTCAGGGTCCAGACACATCTAAATGCTGTTCTGGTAGAACAGCATTTGAAATAGTGTGTAAAGAATGGCTGATCCAGTAACATTTTAGAATTTGGGCTGCCACACAGTACATGCTGTTAAAATTTAGAATGGGTTAATGATATAAAGATTTAAAAATAAGAAATGGAAGTAGGTTTAACAAAGGATGTTTTTGGAAATTGGTACCAGATATTGTATATTAGAAGACATTGAAACCAAATTAAAAGGTGGGAAAATCTTAAGTTTTTGGCAGTACGGGGATTGAACTCAAGACCTTTGTACTGATCTACATCCCCATGAGCTAAATCCCTGGCCCTATGGTGGAATTTGTAATCCTCTTGTCACAGCCGTCCAGAGCTCAGGAATTCCACACATGTACCACCACAGTAGCTGGCGAATGTTGTTTTCTGTTATGTTTTAATGTGTGATACACAAACTCCTGGGGGTTTTATATGAGTAATAAAATAATGAGAAATGGCATAAAAATATTTTTAATGGCCACTAAGCCTCATGGCAAGTGTCTGCAGACCAAGCTACCCAGGAGACTAAAACAGAAGAATCACTTGACCCCAGGAGTTTAAGGTCAGTTTGAGGAACACAGTAAGATTCCATCTCAAAAACAAAAGAATTTCACCTCTAAACAGAAAAATAAGAAAAAAGCCTAGAAGATAATATTTGAACTCTTCAGGCTGGGTGTGGTGGTACACACCTGTAATCTTAGCACTCAGAGGCGGAAGCAGAAAGATTGTGAATTCAGAACCAGCCTGGGCTACATAGGAAGACCTTGTCTGAAACAAAAAAGCTGAAGAACAATATATACACTTGGCATGATCCATAATTTACATACTTTAAATGTTAGGCACATTTGTTTGCATTTGTATATAAGTACCAGTGAGTTGCATTGTTCTAAGAATGTTACATTTAATATCCACAACCTGTCACTAATTATCATTTTTACAAGTGAAGAAATAGGCACAGAGAAGTTATTTTCACCATTTCAGCCCTGGCATTCTGTTAAATGACCATTAAGTTTTGTGGAGAAAGAAAACTGGAAAAATCAGTATTATTGGAAGTGCTTATCCAAGGAAAGGAAAGGGAGTGGACAGAGGAATTTGTAAGATTTTCAGAGATATTTCTATATTGTTTGAATCTCTTGTCATCATTCGCTTTTTTTTTCTGAGATGGTCTCGTTATGTAGTTAATTCACTGAGTGGAGGCTGGCTTCAAATTTGCATTCATCCTCCTGCCTCAGCCTCCCAAGTGCTTGATTATAGGCATGCACCACCGTGCCCAGTTTATTCATTCACGAATTTTCAGGAGCGGAGGAGGTTAATGAAGGATTCATCTTTGCTTTACTATGTCAAGATATTTTAAAGTAGTAAGACAAAAAGTGGAAATGTTTTTCCAGAGGTTTTATAGGTTCCTCCTCTGGGTGAAAGCTTAACTTTTTTGCTGCGTTATCTCTTACGGCCTTTATATTTTTAAGTATTTACTACATTGGTGAGTCATGTACTGATTACAAATCATAGATAACCCAGTTAAATATTGTATTGATAATCACTTAGTATTTTACAATCTCAGCTGTAGCTATAAAATCAGGATTCCTTCCAGCTAGCTCTTGAGAGCTCTTGGAAAATGGAGTCATCCTGGAAAGTGGTCCTGATTATTCTCCTGAGTTTGCCATGCCAGGGCTCAGGCTGGGAATCTGATAGAAATTTCCTTTCAGCAGCTGGCCCTCTAACCAGTGACTTACTGCACAACCTGAGCCACCTCCTGGGAAAGCAGAGTTCTTTTGTAGCTGGGAACAAGGACATTTACACTTGCCTCCAGCCGCTGCCCTCTTTCCTGCCGGAGTACTTCCGCAGTCTCCACACCAGTAAGATCACCCACTATAAAGTGTTTCTGTCCTGGGCACAGCTGCTCCCCGCAGGAACCTCCAGCAGTCCAGACGGGAAGACCCTGCAGTGCTACCGGCAACTCCTTCAGGCCCTGAGGACCGCGCAGCTTGAGCCCCTGGTCATCCTGCACCACCAGACTCCACCCCCAAGTGCTCTGCAGAGAAGCGATGTCTTCGCAGATCTCTTCGCTGACTATGCCACGTTCGCCTTCCGCTCCTTTGGGGACCTCGTTGGGATCTGGTTCACCTTTAGTGACTTAGACGGGGTGTTAAAGGACCTTTCCCATGGGGACTCGAGAGCGCCATGTCTCCAAACCCTCACTGATGCCCACAGAAAAGTCTATGAGATTTATCATGCAGAATACGCTGCTCAGGGTAAGTACCACTGCCCTTGTGGCTGACCCACTGCCAGCCCTCATCACTCTCCTGCCCGTCGGTCTCTTTAAAGCAGGACGTCTCTTTAAAGCAGGACGTGGCGTTTCTCCCACTCACTTTGAGTAGACTCCTCATAGCTGTACAGTAATGAGAAGCCGAGGCTGTATTGCCTTCCCGGTGGAGACTAGAAGGTCAGAACATGACTCCTTTTGAAAATTATGTCTTAAACCTCCTTCCCAGTCTTGAGTACATACAGCAGTTGTCCAGGATGAGGGGTGATAGTAACTGCTAATGGCCATGCTTCTCTGGGGTGATAGGCATGTTCTAAAGCTAGATAGGGGGCCTGGCTTCACAGGTTTATGAATATACTAAGAATTGCTGACTTATGCCAGACTAAATCTCTCCTCCTTTAAAGGGACACTGGGCTTCTTCAGTTTTTGTCTGTTATGAATAAAACTACTATGAACATTCTCGTACAAGCTTTATGTGGGCACATCTTCATTTCTCCTGGATAAGTACATAGGAGTGGATCGTAGGGTAGATGTATGTTTACCTTTTAAAGACTTGCCAAAGGTTTCTGCAAAAATGCTTTTTTGCTCGATTGGCTTCTTTTTTTTTTTTTTTTTGTCTTTTTGGTTTTTATCGGTACCGGGGATGGAACTCACGACTGCCTGCTTGCAAGGCAGGCGCTTATGCCGCTGAGCTAAATCCTCAGCCCCTGTCTTGTCTTTTCAAGACAGGGTTTCACTCTGCAGTTCAGGCTAGCCTTGAACTCACTTTTTAACCCACGCTGGCCTCGAACTCACAGTGATCCTCCTGTCTCAGCCTCCTGAGTGCTGGGATTACACGATGCGCAACCACGCCCAACTAGGATGCTCCTCTGCTTGAACTCTTCAAAGCAGTTTAATTGGGGCATAATTTGTGCATCATGCAGTTCAATCACTTAAGGTGCATCATTCAGTGATTTTTAGTGTATTTACAGTATGTGTAAACAGCTCCACGGTAGGCTTTGCACATTTTCTTCACCTTGTACCCACCCTTTAGTTACCACTCTCCTGTCTGCCTCACCCCCATTTTCCTCTCTTGTGTAAACACTAATCTACCTTGTCTCCATAGATTCCTTGTCTGGGTATTTTATTTGAATGGCATCAGTAATAACATGTGGTCTTTTGCTGAACCTTTTTTTTTGCATTTATTTGAAACCCAGGATCAAAATCATGACCTTATGCGTACCAAGCAGGCACTTATACCGCTGAGCTAAATCCCTGGCCCTAACACAAGGTCTTTGGTAAACCCCCACTGTGGGGTCAGTCTGATGTTATTCTCATAAATAGACTTGGATTCCAGGTTTAAAAGAGAAAGATCCTAGCAGTAAAGTATGATTTTCGTTTTGTTTTGCTTTTTGAATCAGGGTCTTGCTGTGTTGCCCAGGCTGGTCTCAGGCTCCTGGGCTCAAGTGATCCTATTCTATCAGCCTCTTGAGTAGCTGAGACCCAGGTGCGTGCTACCTCACTGGCTTAAAGAGACATTTGCACCATACTATATCAAAAGTATATTAGCAACATGATTTATGACTGTTGCTATTAAATATTTGGCTGAGGTAGTATTTATCAGGTTTCTCCTTAAAATTACTTTTTTTCTCCTTTCTGTATTCTACTGTTTAGGAAAAGGTCATTGGCCAGCCCACACTATTAAAAGAGTATGTATTTTCCTCTTAAATGAAACGTTTTGTATGTGTGGTGCTCGAGATTAAACTCAAGAGTTCTACACATTTTGCTTTGTTTTGTTTTGAGACCGGGTCTCACCATATAATTCAAACTTGCCTTGAACTGTGATCCTTCTGCCTCAGCCTCCCGAATGCTGGGATTATATAGGTGTGTGTTGCCACACCCAGTCCAATTTAAAAAAATAGAGATTCCTTTCTCATGGTTAGGAAGCTGGAAGTCTCAGATCAAGTTACCAGGAGATTCACAATAGACATGTACACTGAAAACTACAGAACATTAAGTAGACATGATGGTGCATACATATAATGCAAGCATTAGGGACGCTGAAGCAGGAGGAGTACAAGTTTGAATCTCAATTTAGTTAGACACTGTGTCAAAAAATAAAAAGGGTTGGGGATATAGCTCAGTGCAAAGGCCCTGAGTTCAATCCTCAGTACAAACCAAACCAAACCAAACCAAAAAAACTGTGGAACATTGCTGAAACAAATTAAAGGAAAGCTAGGAACAGTAGCACATGCCTATGATCCCAGCACTTGAAGGCTGAGGCAGGAGGATCACCAACAGTTCAAGACCAGCCTGGGTCCCATAGTGAGTTCAAGGACAGCCTGAATTACAGAGTGAGACCCTGTCTAAAAAAAAAAAAGATTTGAAAAAATGGAAAAACATTGGTTAAGATGTGATTATTCCCCCAAGCAACTTATAGATTCAGTGACATTCCTACCCAAATCCCAAAATAAAAATATCCAACCTGAAAGTCATTTGAGCCTTGAGAAAAGGTCCCTGAATAGTCAAAATAATCTTTTTTTCCAAATCCATTTTATTGCAAAGAAAAAAGAAAAAAAGCCAAAATAATCTTGAAAAACAAAAACAAAGTTGGAAGACTCGTACCACCTGACTTTAAAATTTACAAAGCCACAAAAATCAAAACTGTATGGTGTTAACATAGAAACAGACATTGGCCAATGCACTGGAATAGATCACCCAGAAGGAAACCCATACATGGTCAAGTGGTTTTCAGCAAGGGAGCCAAGACCATTTGATGGGGAAAAGAAACTTTTTAATAGTACTCTTCTGGGGAAGCTAGAGACCCACATATAAGGGTGGACTTACACCTTTACTATACAGCATTCTTAAAAACTAAAAATGGATCGAAGACCCAAATGTGACTACAAAAACTATAAAACTCCAACACTGGGTGGGGTATCTTGTGACACTGGATTTGGCAAAAATTTACAAAGCATAGGCAAAAAAGAAAAAATTAGATACATTGAACAATTAAATGTAATACTGGTACACCAAACAGCACCAGCAACAGCAGGATAAGGCAACACACAGAATAAGAGAACATATTCTGATAAGAGGTAAAGATCTGGAATATATGAAGAACTCCTAACTCAACAACAAAAAACAACCCCATTACAAATAAGCAAAGGAGCCAGGCACAGGGGTGCATGCACAACTGTTATCCCAACACTCAGGAGGCTGAGGCAGGTAGATCATCATGAGTTTGAGGTCAGCTTGAGCTACATAGACCCTGTCTCAACCCTCCACCCCAAAAACAGGCAAAGGAATTTGGTATGGCATCACATATCTGTAATCCCAATATTCTGGGAGATTGAGGCAGGAGGATCACAAATTCAAATGTAACCTGAGTAATTTAGTAACTGTTATAGTTTATGTTTAGATGGACACCCCCACCCCCATGCAGTCTGGAGGTGGCCGAATCTAGTATTTCTGATTGGTTTGTTGTCTAGTGCTGGGATTGGCGGTGTGAGTGCTGCACCCACCCAGGGGCAGGTAGCTGGCATACTGTATAGGAGAGGGGAAAGCGGCATACTTTGCCCTTTTTTGCTCTTGTTGCTTATGGCCAACATGTACAGCTGCCCCTTAGCCATAGCACCTTGCCAGCTCAATATGGACTGAAACCTCCAAAACTGTAAGCCACATAAACCTTTCCTTTCTTCATTGCTGGTTTCAGATATTTTCTCTCAACAATGAGAGACAGTAAACTAGCAAGACCTGCTCTCGAAAAAAAATTTTAAAAAGAGTTAGGGATATAGCTGAGTGTGAAGGCCCTGGTTCAATCCCGAGTACTGCCAAAAAACAACAATATAAGGAAAAGTCAAACCACAAGAAGGGATTGTGAGTACAGTTCAGTGCTATGCTGAATCCCTCACTTTGATCCCTGGTAATGTAAAAGAGAATAGAGAACACACACATACACACACGTTATCACTTCATACCGATTAAGACTGCTATTATCAAAACACTTTATATGCATAAAATAATAAAGGGCTGGTGAGGTTATAAAGAACTTGGCAATCTTTATATACTGCTGTCAGGAGTATAAAATTCTGTGCAGCTACTGTGGAAAACTATCTGGCCATTTCTTAAAGAGTTTAACCTAGAAATACCACATGTCCTAGTAGTTCCACTTGTAGCTATGTGTCTCAATGAAAACTGGTTCTTGAACAAGTATTTGAACACCACATAGCAGCATTATTCATTAAATGGAATATAATCAAGAAGTAGAGACAACCTCAATGTCCATCTACAAATGAATAAACAAAATGTGGGAGGTACATACAATGAAATATATTCAGCTTTTAAAAGAAAGGAAATTCTAATATATATTACAACATAGATGAACTCTGAGGCTACTCTACTAAGTGAAGTGAGGCAGACACAAAAAGACAAACCCTGTATAAATCCACTTTACGGGGTGCCCAGGATAGCAAGATTCGTGGAGTTGGATACAGTGTACTGTTGTAATCCCAGCAGTTTAGGAGGCTGAGACAGGAGGGTTGGCGGTCCAAGACAGGGTGAGCAACTTAGTTGTACTATAAAAATAAAAAGGGCTTGGGATGTAGCTCAGCAGTGCAGCACTTTCCTAGCATGTGCACCTGTGAGGCCCTGAGTACCATTTCCAGTTCTGTAAAAACAAAAATGCAATGTGAATGTACTTCATGCCACTGAGTTGTACACCTGGAAATGTTTAAAATGGTCATTTTTGTTATGTTTATTTGCCATAATTTTTAGCAGTCCAAAAAACATTCTTTTGTAATTTTTGTTATCATAAAATACCCACCGATTCGTTGAGTGTGCTGCCACTGAGGAGGGTACAGAGGAAGAGAAGTTCTTTTGAAAAGTGGGAGGGATGAGAGAGGAGGCAGCGTCCCCATGACTGGAAGCGCAGAGTCACACGCAGCACCTGTCTTTGCGTTGCACTGCAGCACATCCATGCTCATACCTGGTCAGCCCAGCCCAGCCCAGCCCAGCCCAGCAGTGGAGGCTTGACGAATTGATACTGGAAATCTTAGCAGCCAGGTTACATGTACGGACACATTCAGGGTGGAAAAAAAAGACTATTTTTTGTTGGTGGCTGCAGTGATTTTCAGAGCACCAACTTACCTCTGTGGTGAAAAAGGAGGTGAGCCTACCTTATCCTTTAGTACCTCATCCTTAGTGAGGTGCAAAATATTTAACAGTGTCTCTGAAGGAGACGAGATTCCACAGTGTGGTGCAGTTATTTTCTGTACGTGCTGAATACAATCAATTCTCAACTTGATTTTTGAGTTCTGGAGACATGAACACCTTCTTTAACCATATCCAGCAAACACTGCAAGAAAAATTATCTTAAACCAGAGAATTGGTCCCTTTCTGATCTCAAACATGAACTACAAGCTTAGAGGAAATATCTAGTTTTAAATAATTTGCATTTTGCATTATTTTAGAAAGTATAGTTTATGCTTACATTGGATACAGGTTAGGAACTGTATTTGAGGATTTGATTATTTTGTATGATAAGAGAATTTTTGGAACTTCAAAGGAATTGGTTCACACTGTAAAAAGTTTGCAAAATTAAATAGAAATTATTTGTGTGTTAACTGCACATAGGAATTGTTAATACTGTACTTGTATGTCATTTTATAGGTCCATAGACAATAAATTGTGCAGGCTGAGAACAAATATTCTGTATATGCTGATGTGAAGATAGACTGGAGAGTGGAAAGCAAGCCAACCCATCAGGCCAATCTTTGAGTATTTAGAAAGCATTATGGGACTGGGGATATAGCTTAGCCGCACAGTGCCTGCCTGGAACCACAAGGTCGTGGGTTTGATCCCCAGTACTAAAAAAAAAAGAAGAAAGAAAGAAAGGAAAAAGAAAACATTATCTTATCAGAATGAGAATGAAGTATCTCTATGTGATATTCCTATCAGAACAAGAACTAGATGTCTCTGTGACATACCCTGTTCAGAGGTTTTCAAAGTTCCATTATGCTTATGAAAAAGCGTGCTCTGATTGGTAGTGGTCATTAGTGGTGGTCTTATTGGCTGGGGATATTTTCCTCCTTGTAGAGTTTGGGTGGAAGAAAAGTCAGTCATATAACCTTCTAGTTAAGTCTTAAACTCTGCTTTTACTCAATCTTTGTTTGTTTTCAAATCACAATTCTGAATATCTTTTATAATCCCAGTCTTAAACTTGATACTTGGAGAGATTAAAGAAGTGGAGTTTTTATTTTGTTTGGATTTTGGTGTTTTGTGATTCTCATGCATGCTAGATGAGTAGTCTTCCACTGAGATACAAACCCAGAAATTTTGGTTTTTAAAGACAGGTTCCTGTTATGTATCTCAGGCTGACCTTGATTTACAGTGATCCTCCCGCCTCAGCCTCCCTTATGCTGATTATAGGCATGCACTACCATACCCATCTTAAGAAACTTTGTAAGTGTTGCTTAAGGAATATATAATTCAGCATAGGATAAAGATTCACATGCATCAAAGAGTTAGATAAAAATCTAAAACAATGAGGAATCTTAGCTCTGTAGCCCTATTTCTCACTCTGTGTTCTGAGGACCACTGCAGCAGAATCACCTCAGCCCACCCTAATCTGCTGAATCCACACCAAAGGAAATTGGCATTTTTTAAACCATCTCAGCCGGTGATTCTGATGCACGTAAAAGTTTGAAAAACATTACACTGCCTAATCTCAAAGCAAAACAAGCTGCACATGTTATTTCCTTTGTTCTCCCTCAGTGCATAGTAGGGGCTCTACTGATGTTCATACAACAAATAAGGGCGACCTAACAGTTTCCTGAAACGGCCCTATCTCTGAGGAAGTTAGGAAGGAGCCCTTGTCTTGCCACCTTTTGTGTTGCAGGTGGCAGGGCAGGGTGATCTTATTCTAAAAGACAAATCTAAGTGCTTTGCGTGTCACACTCCTAATTCATACTCTTTTTTTTTTTTAGGCACCTTGTTTTCTAAACTCTTTCAGCTAAGCCATGCAAATGAGTTTTTCAGAAATCTTTTTTTAAGTTAGTAACCGTCTAACAGGAAATGAATGCCCCATGGCTTCCATGGTCCGTACTGCTGCCCGTGCTCAACTGCTGTTCACACCTCTGCTTTCTTCCAGGTGGAAAACTCTCTGTGGTCCTCCCCGCTGAAGACCTCCCAGAGCTCCTGCTGGAACCAGCCACATCTGCACTTACCAAGGTGACCACAATGCAAAGAGACAGCAGCATTTGAGGGAAGTTATGGCTTGCATTGTTAAAAACAAGTGAAGTTTTTGTCTGCTAATGAGACATTTTTATAAATGCCTCTTCTGAGTGGTATATATTCTCTAGATTCATGATTATTTTAAACAAAACCTGAGCAGCACCAGCTCCTGCTCAGTAAAGTGTCAGCTTGCCTATCAAAGAAGCCAAATGCTTCTGCTTGCTCTGATATTTTATTGAGTCCAACATAGCTTACTCAAAGACAGCAGTTTATATTAAAGCAGATACTAGGATAAAGCAGCTTTAAAATGTGCTCCATAAGTCCCCTTTATGGCTTCCTACATCATCTGCACCTTAATTATGATTCTTTAAAAGAAAAATGAAGCTGGGGATATGGCAGAGTGGTAGAATTCTTGCCTTGCAAGCACAAGGCCCTGTTTGATCCCCAGCACCACAAAAGAAAAATGAAAATATCTAAGCAGTAAACAGCCCCACCTGCTCCCAAAGCTTTTAGAAAAACGGCTGACGTATGGGTCTGCAGCTTTGCCAACGTGGTCTCGGGGTCTGCGCTGTCACGGGGCTGCTCATGTCAGGGTTTAATTTTCAGATTTACCAGCTCAGGGATTTAAAACTCAAGTATGATAAGATTCCAGATAAACCACTATCAGGCAGACTACATGGCCAGAATGCCATCTAAATTAATTTATAAAGGGTAATAAATGTTATCAGTTATAAATTCAGGAGACCAAAGTGCTGATCAGAAAAATGCTTGTCCAGCAACAGCCTTTGAACCAGTCCTTCTGCCCCATTTATCCTGTGCAATGTTTTAGAGCAGTCGTCCAAAAGCACTATTGTGATGGATTTCCTAGCGGGAAGCCACATTTCCCTGAATCAGTGTAAATTCCTGTGGGCTTTCCAGCATGCATGTGTATTGTCAGTGTTTGGCTATGTGGCCAGCTTCTGTTTTACCCAGTACGCACCCTATCCTCTCTATTCTCTTGCATAATACAAGACATTTATTTGATGTCCTTCCTGTCCTCCTACCTACCTTCCTCAAATCTTTTTCCAGCAAGATTCTTTCTATCATTAGTGTCCCTGTGAATGTGCTCTCTACCAGGAGACCTTATGAACACTCCTTGCTCAATCCAGTGAACTCTTTCCCCAGTTGGAATCCTTAGCCATTTGTTTAGCCCCCTAGCTCTCAACCTTTGTTCTGTAGCAGAATCACTTAGAGAGCTAGTAAAGAACTCAGAGACCATAGCTAGGCATGGTGGAGCATGCCTATAATCCCAGTACTCAGGAGGCTGAGGCAGGAGGATTATTGTGAGTTCAAGGCCAACCTAAACTGTATAATGAAACCCTGTCTTGAAGACAAAAATTAAAAAAACACAGAGACCAAGGCTTGGTGTGGTGGGACAGGCCTGGATCCTCTGAAGGTGTCTCAAGTCTATCGCAGTCTATCCTCACTAAGATCTGACCATTACTAGTGAAGTTTTATTCTTATAACAATCTAATTTTCTGTCTTTTCTTAATGTAATTGGCGTATTTATTTAAAAAGCTTCTGTGGATCTTATTCATCTTTAAATGTGACTCGTGTCTCCTGTTCCCAACACAGAGACTTTCAAAAGTAGGAAGTCTGCTCTGTGTTGTATGTAACTGAGAAACAGAAGCAGAACAGAGGGGATCGGTAGGGGGAAAGTTCAAGTGATATTTGCCATCGTGGAGCAAATACGTGGAACCTTTAGTAAAGCAATGATAACATGATTGGGAAAGCAGCGGGGAGTGCGTAGTGAAACAATTAGGAAAGTTCCATGGTCCACTTGGTCCACCTGCTGGCCATGGTGCACCATCCTTGTCAAAGGAAATAGGTCAGTCAGTGATGGCAAACCTGTTAGAGCTTTCAGTGATAACAAACAGCCCGCCGCGGCACGCATGCCAAAGGTTCACCACTGCTGGCAGACAACCTGTGAGAGCGAGGAGGTGAGCGGTGGTCTAATCACAAGGGACAGAAACACAGCAGCTGTCGCACCTCGGCCTCTCAGCTAAGATCAAGTGTAGAAATGCAGCAGCCAGCAAGCTCACTCGGGTATGCAGGGAGTGAGTCACAGTGGCGTCTCCAAGATCTTAGACGCTTCGAAGTTCTTCAAGCACACACAGGCCAGAGACAGAGTAGAAGTGGTGTGTCACTAGTCAGCGTCAGTGACCAGACCTGAGGGCTGTGCCTTCAGCTTGTAGAACGGGTGCAGCTAGATTAACTGGGTTGGGCTCCAAAATGTGGCCTGAAATTAAAACCAAAACCCCAGGAAGGTTTCTAGGGATCATGAGGGCCTAAAGACAGCTCGGGACTCCAGCTCCCTCCCTTACTGTCTGCCTAATGGTGGAGCCCACCATTCCTGGTAGGCTCTTTATGTTATTTGTTTAATCACACACATTTACGAGTGCTGTATGCCAGAAAGAATTCAGTGGTGGTGAACCTATGGCACACGTGCGACAGCCAACTTTTTGTTATCATTGAAAGCTCCAAAAGGTTCACCATCAGTGACATAGATGTTATATTCCCAGTGATACACAGGAAACACCTGTGCACACACACATCGCAGGGTTTTCCAGTGCCTATTTCTTTTGTAAAATCCCACTTTGGTCATAAGGGAAGAAACAAAACACTGAGCAGCTCTTTGAAATTGCTTATATTCTAATGACTATTTACTTCCTTCTAGGATTCAGTTGATTTCCTGTCTCTTGATTTGTCTTATGAATGCCAAAGTGAGGCAAGTCTACCAGAGAAGCTGAGTGAATTTCAGGTAATTGGAGCCCTTTTCTGTATCAGTGATCAATGGTGAATGTTCCTGAGCATAATAGACATTTAATACTGTGGCTAACAGGTGAACTGAACTTCTATCAACGGTCAGAAGACCTGCCCAGTTGCATCTGGGAAAATTTCTATTGAAAGCATCTCTCGAGAACATTAGGATATTAGAGGCTTTCCTAGGAAAAGTAATAAAGGTTAACTTATTAAGATGTTCACATGGATCTTGTGCTGCCCCACATAGCAAACTGGGTCTTGAAATTCCAGTGTTCATTCTAAGTTTAAAAAGACAGTTCACCAATGGTAGTGATAGTTCCTACGTTAGTTCTTTTTGCATTACTGCAACAAAATACCTGAGGCAGGCCAACTTTATAGAGAAAAGAGATTTATTTACTTCTCAGTACTAGAGACTCAAGGGTATGGTGCTGCCAGGAGCTCAGCCTGGCTCATTTCTTGGCTTCTTAGCATCATGGGGAAAGCATGTGTATGTACAGAATCACAGAGTAACATGGAAGAAGAGAGACTGGGGCCACATAGTCTCTTCCAAGGGCCCTTTGGGCTAATGACCTCCTATCACATCCTGCTTCTCAAAGGTTCCACTGCCTTCCAGAGTGACCATAAAGACCAAGCCTCCAACACGTGAATCTTTGGTGGGGAACACACACTATACCCAAGCCATAGCCACACTTAAACCATATCTAAGCCACAGTTTCCAGCAGTGTAAAACTACTTAATGTACTTAGTGCATGTTAGTGCTGGAGGTGGGGTTTGAGCCAGGGCTTTATCCTTCTAAGATGCTACCCTGCATCTCCAAACATGTCTGAGATGCTGCAAATGTTATTATGAAAACTTTATTTTTTCCTCTTTTGTTTGTTTTGCTGTGCAGGGAATTGAACCTAGAGCCTCACATATTCAAGTGCTCTACCACTGAGCTACACCCCAAAGGTTGCATTCTTTAAAATCACATGTCATTTGATTTTTTTGTTTTGTGTGTGGGAAGGGGTCAGTATTGGGGATTGAACCCAGGGCCTTCACACTCCAGTACATCCCCAGCTGTTTTTTATTTTCCATTTTGAAACAGAGCCTCACTAAACTGCCTGAGCTGAATTTGAATTTACAATCCTCCTATCATGGGATTACAGCAGCACAGCTGGCTGATTACTAGTTTTTATAAACATCTCACCTGAACCTGAATTTGCTTGCATCCCATAGCCTGTAGTTTTGGACTTACTGATGAGATTTCCAGGTCTTAGACAGCCTTGTGGTGTGTTTGAGGTCTGATTATGCCTGTGACAACAAAATATGTCTTCTGGCCTCCTCAAGGAACTAAACCAGAGCTGTGGCCAAGCTTCAGACCTAAGGACATTTTAAAACCATCTTGGTCATGCAGGTACAGCATTTTCAAGAGGCAGGCAATGGGAGCACCAGGAAGTTTGTACTTGGTTTACAGTGCTTCCCTCTGTGGGAGAACATCTTTAAGAAGGCCTACTCCTGCTGTCCCTGTGACACTGCTGTCCCATAGCTGGCTAGCCAAATACTGTGGTAAAATTCTTTGTGGACAAACTTAACTATCATTAAAAAAAAAATTCCTTATAACAGTTCCTTTTTCATTTTATTTGGTGGGAAATTAATTCCAGATATTACACTTTGACAGCTCAGATGCAGCCTCAAAGATTCAGAATAGGGCCAAGCATCCTGGTCTGCTTTGTAATTCTAGCACTCTAGGAGGCTGAGACAGGATTATAAATTTGAACACAGCTTTGGCAATATGAGTAAGACCCTGTCTCTAAATTAAAATTGGGGGGGGGGATGGGAATGTAGTTCAGCGAGAAGGTCCTGAGCTCAATTCCCACTACTGGGAAAAAAAAAATTCAAGCCAGACATGACGGTGGATACTTATAACCTCAGCATTCAGGAGGCTGAGGCAGGAGGATTATGAGTTTGAGGCCAGTCTGAGCTACATAGTGAAATCCTGTCTCAACAAAACAAAATCAAATGGGGCTGGGAGCCATAACTCAGTGTAGGGCATATACTTTGTATGCATGAGGCCCTGGGTACAGACCCCAGCACCACCAAACAACAAAAATATCCAGAGTGACACCTGACAGTGGTGGAGCCAGAGAAGAGACGGTCCTCTGGGATCCTAGTTACAAGCCTAGTTACATTTCCAGTACACGGTTACCACACCCAGGACAGGAAGAAAGGAGTTCTCCCTGGGGAGAAAGGCCGAGTTGCGTCCTCAGGGGCCCAAGCACACAGCCCACAGCTTCCTCCTCACACACTTCGGGCGCGCCCTCAGTGCCCTCACTTGCCCCATGAAGGGGCCTCTTCTGTGGGCGGTGTAGGGAACAAGGGCCACGCACTGCCCTTTCCTCCACTTTCTCCAAGCACCTACCTACTGCAGCTCAGTGGCCTCCGCCGCTGCTCAGCAATGGGGCACAGGTGTCTCCGGAGCCCCCAGGCCCAGCGCCTTGATAAAGAGCCCAGTCTGAACTGCAGGAGGCTGCGAGGAACTCAAAACCCCTTTATTAGAAAGAGGCTCTGTCTCCCCAGGATACCACTGAGCAGCAAGTGGGCACAGCCCCAAAAGCCCCCTGGCTCCCAGTCTTGGAAAAGGCCAGCCCGCCACCAAGCATGGATCTTGCAGGGAGGAAAGTTCTGTCCCCATGCATGCACCCCAGTCCTTCGTCCTGCAAACCCCAACACAGAGAGGGTGAAGGCTGTGTAGTCACAGCCCTGCTAAGCCTGTGGGCGCGGGCTGCTCAATGGGTGTCTCAGGGCCCTAATGCGACATCTGCAGAGGGAGGAGGACTCAGGCAGCTGAGGAAGTACTGTCAGAGCACCTGGGTCCTTCGTAAGTAGCTGCTACTGTCTGTCTCAGTGGCCTTAACTGTTCAGAGGAGAAAAAAGTATGGGAAAACTGATGGAACCCCCACTTCCTGAAAGAGATAATTTGAGATGAAGTCAAACATGTCAGCCTGGAGATACTCCCCTTCATATTGAAGCATCGAGGGGGAAAATGGGACAGCAATTATTATACCTGCTCTGATTTCAGCGAGGACATGATGAAGGTGAGAAGGGGCACACAAAGAATTAAGAGGTGTCATGTACACGTGCCAGCTCCTCAAGAGGATTGTAATCATGATGTACTGCAAACGTGTGCTAATGAAGATTTTTTAAAAAAGATGACAGCTCTTTAGCTTTTTGCCATGGAAAATTTCGAACATCTAAAAGGAGAAAAATCTAAAGAACCCTATGTAGCTGTCACCAATTTCAAGTCCTGTTACTTCACCTGTACTCCTTGTTTCCCTTCCAAACGGGATTATTTGGAAGCAAAAGGCGAGGGTGGAATCTCAGTTAAGCTTCTTCAGTGACACAGACTCTGGATGTGAGCAGAGCAGGCAAACGTGTTCCTGACTGATGCAATACCTGCCTCGAAGAGGTTCCTCGTGTGGCTGAGGTCATGTCACTCCAGAGAGGGTGCCTGTGTTACTGAGGTGCGCAGTCCCCTCCTTCAGAGCCTGGAGGCAGCCGTCCCAGTCACTGGGCTGGCTGGAGGTCATTGCCAGTTTGGTGCGTCTGTAGCCTCTCACTTGGAAACAGAAGTGTTATCAAAAGATACTTTCAAATAACATCAGTTCACTTGCTGGTCTGTATCTTTTTCAGGGCATTGAGCTGAAAGTGCCAGTTTTCATCTTCACTCTAACACTTCAGGATTGTCCCTCTACCGAGAAGCAGGCTGCCAGGCTGCTGGTCAGCCTTGCTGAAGGTGAGTGGGCTGTCGGCAGGGGGGCCCACTGGTGCACTGACTTGGTGCATGGTGGGTTTAGTAGCAGGAGGGAAACTGGAGCCCACCCTAGGTAGCATGAAGTCCCTGCCCTTCCTGGTATCCGGCTCCCACTGCCCCAAGCAGCAAAGTCTATGAAGGATGCCTCTTACTGAACAAGACTGCCAGGCCTCAGGGGTGAGCTGCAAGCATGGAACCATCTCTCTGCCTGGCTCCCTCCAAGTTCTTTCATCTCTGCCCACTCTGAAGGGCTGTTTCCTGCCTCTCCAGCCTTGAGAGGCTCACCCCTGCCCTCTGCGTGCCCCTGTTCTGTGTCCCTATTACCTCAGCTTGCATGTGGACTTGCTGGGCACAGATGATGCTAAAAACCCTCACAAGCAAGACTTGCAGCCCCGGAATCATCTTTTCAGCATCTGGTTCAAATTCTTGACAGTGAGTCTGACTGGCTGTGAATCAAGAAGCAGCTCCCATTCTGAGCTGGGGAGAGCTGGGGTCTGTTAACAGGTGAGGTCATTGGAGACTGCAGGAAGGAGCCTGGCAGTGCTGGAGTCCTGGTCACCCTTAGCGCAGGATGGAAGGTGGGGAAGCCGGTGCCCTTCCCACCACCTGCAACCCCCCTACCACTGCGGCTGCACAGGTCTCTGACAGTTGGTCCACAAAACCCCACTTAATGCCCTTAATTCTACCTCATCTTTCCTAGCATGAGTTCTGTTCTCCAGTGCCACCCTCTTATAAATGGTTGCAACAGTCAGGCATGGTGGCGCATAACTGTGATCCCATCATGTTGGAGGCTGAGGCAGGAGGATCGTCACGAGTTTTAGGCCAGGCTGGGCTACAAAGTGAGTTCAAGACTAGCTTGACCCATATAGTGAAACCCTGCCTCAAAAAAGGACCCCCTCTAAAAAAAGGTTAAAATGGCAACTTTCATGTGCATGTGTACTTAAACCACAATATTTTTTCAGTACTCTCAATTACCCAGACATATCCCCAACACAGTCTTGCTATGTTCTTAGGATGTCCTTGAGCTCGTGACCTCCTGCTTCAGTCTCCTGAATAGCTGGGATTATGAAGTGTGAGGCACCATGTCTGGTTTAAACTACAATTTACAACAATAGCAACAAGAATTCCACTGGTTTTTATGTTCAGGTTCTTCTCAGTCATTCCCAAGTTTGTGATTCCAGACCAGCAGCATAGGATAAGCATCACTTGGAGGTAGAATGCATCTCACAGATCCTACCCAGATGACCTGACTAAGACTCTGGGGCGATTCTAGCAGTAGCTCTCAAGTCTGATTTATCCGTTCTAAGTCACGAGCAAGTCAGAAGTGTCTGACCTCAAGTCCTTAGGCTGTGGTATTTTCCAGAGGCTCTTAAAACCATTGCTTGGAGTTTGCATGTTTTTAGGAGGAAGACTGCTGATTTCAGATGTATGTGTTTTTTGTTGAGCTTCAGGCAACGTTAATTAAACTACTTCTTTTACAGCCAGAAATAAGGACCAAGCACTCGCCCTTGGGGTTGATGTCAGTGCCTTCCTGAGCTGTTCAGGTTCCGAGGAAAGGTAATGTTGGAACCGACCACTGAGCTTACAGTAACCGATGCATAGACTGCCCTGCTGCTCTTCCCCAGGGGCCCTCTCTTGGGACTGTTGCCACTGTCTCTCTGACAGCAGGCTGACTGTTCCAGGAGAGAACGCGTCCCTCACTGAGTCAGTCCAGGTTTCTCACCAGTCAGTTCACCCGGCCGCACATAATGTGCAGAGCTGGGATTTGAACCCCTGCATCCTAGTTTTAGATCCCTGAGGCAGAATATGTGGAAGAGAGGCCAGATTAAAAATAGATCTGAAAAAAAAAAAAAAAATAGATCTGGCCACGGCCCTGAAAGTTCACAAGTGAGTTCTTGCCTCTATTTTCTCAGTGTGAAACCTGAAATGCCTTTCTCACCCGAGACAGGAAAGCCAGCTTTTACAGGGCCCTAACAAGAGGCTTTCATTAATGATGAAGCTGCACATAATTTATTCTTATCAATGACTGAAGCATCAAGGTTTGTAAATGATACACTGTACTTTCAAAGAAAGGAGAGCCGACAGGAGGTTATCCCTATAATGACACCGCACCTCATGTCAGCCACACGAGCAGGGAAAGGATGGTGTGGAAGTCGGCCCTCAGTGTCCCCAGAGCCTCAGCCCCTGCTGGCTGTTTGACCTTAAGGCAGGCCAGGCTGGAGACAGCCATTCAACTTCCAGATGCTTGGCCAAGGCTTCGTTGTCCACCTCTGGCGGTTCATAAACATCGGTGCCCATGTCTCCTCAGACTTCTCTTCCATCAGCTGCCTGAGCCCTAGCCTCCTCCTGTCGCCCTGCCCTTTCCGTTCATTTCAAATCAGTATTTCAGCCCATTAAAGGCAGGCAGCTGCAGGATGCTGGGAGTGCAGACAGGGCACAGCTGCTGTCTGACTCCACTGGCAGTCGGCTGAGGAGTGAGGAGCCCGGGCTGTGTCTTGGGAACAAGAATGCCAAATAAAACGAGTTCCCTGAGACGCTGATTACAGAGGTAACTACAGAACATGGCAGCACCAGCTCGCTCTCTTGATCTCACCCTGGCCTCGAGGTTCTTCCCCTGAAGCCAAAAACAGCGGCCTCATGGGGCCTGGTCCAGGGAAGGCGGATGGAGACACTACTGGTGTGGGGAGAGCGGGTGAGGGGCAGAAGTGGGTTCGGAAAGGGGCCGCAGTTTGCTGTTCCAGGAATTCTGGACCTCACAGGTGAGTGTGAGGTCCTCAAGGGACTCACAGCGCAGTGTGGCCCTTTGTCCCTAAGAGGCAGCAGAGTGTGAGCCCAGTTGGCTAGAGGAGAGGCAGAGCCCAGGGCTTCTCCTTATATCAGATCTTTTCCAAGGCTGGTGAACCCCAGATTCCCCACTCCAAGACCCACAACATCCAGACAGTGTTCAGACCTTCTCCCAACAAGCCTGGAGGACAGCCAGGGGCGGGGTCAGCCTAGAACAAGGCTGTGGCCTGCTGACCTTTACAGGGCACAGGTGCACAGTAAAGCTGAGCACCTTGGACTTCAAGGTCAAGGCAGCGGTGTAGAGGATTCACAGCCAGAGTCACTTCCCTCCTGATGCTCTAGCAAATACGGGAAGCTGATGCAGAGTAAAGCAGGAGGTGGGTGGAAGGGCTCCTTGTGGGACTGCCTCGCCCAGGCATTGCTTCTCTGGAGAGAGCCCTTGTATAGTTTCCTGTCCCTGTCAGCTCTGTGCTCTGGGCCTACCTGCTATGTCGTCCCCTCTACTTGGTGGCCCTTGGAGGAAGGTGCTGTGCTGCGCACACGTGTGCACATGTACACACACGCACACACAATCCTCCTCCAGACCATCTCTGCCAGTCCTCTCAAGGCTGCCTCCTGCTGGCTGCAATTTGCTCTGGCCTGTGGGGCCTCCCACTCTGTGAGGCACAGCTCATGGTGAAATCAGTCTATAGGATGATAACCAAAATTAAAGTGAGGGGAAAACATGGGAAAGAGGAAGAGAAAAGGCTAGAGTAAAACAGAAGCAAGACTTGATGGTGCATGCCTGTAATCCCAGCACTTGGGAGGCTGAGGCAGGAAGATCATAGGAGGCCCTGACTAAGCAATTTATTAAGGCCCTATCTTAAAATAAAGAGTACTGGGGAAGTAGCTCTGTGTGAAGGCTGTGAGTTCATTAGAGTATCTCTGTGCAAGTTGGTAAACAGCCACTGCACTCTGAGCCCCAGAAGTTGCTCATTTAAAGTTGCTGTTTCATCCCTATAGAATGATTAGAAATAATGGTAGAGCCTATCCCTTAAATTAGTTGTGAAAATTAAATGAGATAATACACTATAATCCTTATTGCTCTAGCCAGTGCAAAATCTAGGCTCAATAAATTGAAGTAATTATTATTAGCTATGTTTTTATAAACAGTAAATTATAAGAAGAAAGTACTGCACCAGAACCGAAGTCCGTATTTTAGGGATGTCTTAGTTATTTTCATCATCACTGAGGCACAATAGCAGAACCTGCCTTTTTATTTTATTTTTTTTTTTTTTGTGGTCCTTTTGAGACAGAGTCTCCCTGTGCAGTTATTGAACTCACTTTGTAGCCCAGGCTGGCCTCAAAGTCACAGTGATCCTCCTGCCTCAGCCTCCCAAGTGCTGGGATTACAGGCATGGGCCACCATGCCCAGCTAGAATATACAATATAAAGGAGGAGTGGTTTATTTTGGGTTACAGTTTGTAGAGGTTCCAGTTCACAGTTGGCTGATGCCACAGTTGGCTGATGACAGACAGGAAGCAGAAGGAGTCAAGGAAGGAGCCAGGACAAGAGAAACCCTTCCAGCCAACATCAGGGGGCCCTCCTCTCCCATCCAGACCCCACCTAGCAACAAGTCCTAGCACATCACATCCAGTCACCCTCCAGAGCACCTGCCTGTGACCCCATCCACTTCAGGGAGTCATCATAAGTCATAGGGGGAGGGATCTAGCACAGAACATGTCACACTTCTCTCATGCAAGAGGAGGGAATAATTATTTCCATTTTTAGTCATTTTCTGCCTGTGACTTTGCAGGCTTGGTGTTTGGCACAGGACTGCTGGGATTTTTACTGATTAAATACATTGAACCTGTCATCCGTAGGAGGCCATTTGTAACTCAGTGGTTGATAATTTCACTTTGTCTCATTTCAATCCCACAGCATGACTTGCTCTCTGACCGATGACCTGACCCTTCAGAGTGACCAACTGCAGCAGGACCATGACACTGTGGGCAGGGCGCTGTCCCTGGACTCGGCCTATCAGAGGGTCTGGGAAGCCTTTGCTTCCCAGTCCAGGGCAGAAAGGGACGCCTTCCTGCAGGACACTTTCCCTGAAGGCTTTCTCTGGGGCGTCTCCACAGGGGCCTTTAGTGTGGAAGGGGGCTGGGCTGAGGCTAGCAGAGGGCCCAGCATCTGGGACCAGTATGGCCTGAATGCCACCAGCGGCCGAGCTACCCCAGAAGAGGCCAGCGACAGTTACCACAAAGCAGCCTCTGATGTTGCCCTGCTTCGTGGGCTCCGGGCCCAGGTGTACAAATTCTCCATCTCCTGGTCCCGGATCTTCCCCATGGGGCACAGGAGCAGCCCCAGCCTTCAAGGTGTCGAGTATTACAACAAGCTGATTGACGCCCTGCTGGACTCACACATCGAGCCCATGGTGACGCTGTTCCACTGGGACCTGCCTCAGGCCCTGCAGGACCTAGGCGGATGGCAGAATGAGAGTGTGGTGGATGCCTTTCTGGATTATGCAGCCTTTTGCTTCTCTTCTTTTGGGGACCGTGTGAAACTGTGGGTGACCTTCCACGAGCCGTGGGTGGTGAGCTACGCAGGCTACGGCACCGGCCAGCATGCACCAGGCATCTCTGACCCAGGAGTGGCCTCTTTTAAGGTATTTCCCAACCCTGTAGCTCCTGCTAACTGGAGGAGAAAAGACATTTGGCTGGAAGTCATTTGATCTGTCTCCTTATCCAAAAGTGTTTCCTTTTTGTTCTTTGAAGGAAATCAGAGGCATGAAAAGAAGCATGAATTGTTAATCGCCTTATTTTGTCCAGACACTGCTGGCTCTTTTAAAATAGTTGTTGTAGGCTCAGAATAGCATAATGGATGAGGGAATTGGGACTCGGAGAAGATAAATAATGTGGTCATGGTGACATCACTATTGAGTTGCCAGTTAGAAGCAGGACTTGAACCGAAGTGCCCTTGACTCTAAAAGTAAGCTTGTGGGCAGGATCTTAGCTCAGAGGTAGAGCACTTGTTTAGCCTGCAGGGGCCTGAGTTCCATCCCAGCACTGCAAAAAGGAAAGAAAAAGAAAATCTCCCTTGTGTTACCAGGATTCCAGTGGCAGGAGACAGAAAAAGCAACCTACACCAATAAAGCAAAGAGGGAATTTATCAGTTCAGGAAACTGAAAAGTCTTGGTTTTAGCATGGTTGGAGCACAGATACTGTCGGCAGACCTAGTTGTGGGTCTGTCTTGTTTCCTTTGTTGGCTTTATTCTTGGGCTACTCGGTCACCAGGCAGCAGTAGCCCAACTTTAATATTTCCAGACCAGCAGGAAAGAAAGAAAGCTCACCTCTGCTCCATTTCCAGTCAAAGCTTCCTACATCCTTGGTCTCTGGGCGGCCACATGCCCACCCCAGAGCCTTGGCTAAGTCCCAGCTGGGGACCTGGGTCTGCTCCTAAACATACTGACTGAGACGTGGACAGAGAGAGAAAGGGAGGGGTTTGCTTTCCAGATGGCAAACAGTGTTATTTCAGGAGGGATATGCATGCCGGAGGCAAATTTTTCTTTTCTAAAATGAGTCTCATTACATTCTCCAGGCTGCCTCACACTCCAAGCTCAAGTGACTCTTCTCCGTCAGCCTCTTGAGTAGCTGGCACACAAGGCACACACACCATCATGTCTGGCTTTGAGGACCTTAATATTTGTCTTCCTTAATTTCTCTTTTCTTCAGAGTCTCCCAGAAAACTCACCAGCTTTCCTTGTCAAAGTTTCTTTGGGGTAAATGTGTGGCTTTGGATCCTGTTCTGAAATTGGAGTATTCCCCGTGCCCTGTGCCAGGTGTTAAGGAGAGATGCCTGGCCACGTGCTCAGCGTGGGCCAGATGGCGTCAGATACACGTGAAATGGGAGAACCATTCAGAGTGCTCACAGGAGGCCGGGCATGGTGGCTGACACCTGTGATCCCAGCGCTCGGGTGGCCGAGGCAAGGGAATCATTGCAAATTCAAGACCAGCCTGGACTACAAAGTGACGCAAGCAGCCTGAACTGCAGAGTGAGACCCTGTCTCCAAAAGACAAAAATAAAAACCCAGAGTGCTCACAGAGAGAGCAGGCACCTGAGGGAATGAGTCACCTTTGGCACTGCAGTTGGAGGACTGCACACGGGGCAGGGGGTTCTTCCGCAAATTGAAGCCTTGACCCTTTTTCTGTCTCCAAACTGTTTCTTCTCAGGCTTTTGTTGTGGCTCCTGAGATATAAGTGTTTCTACAGAGACTGATGGGTCAAACAGTGTTTCATATTTCTGTAAGACTTGTGTGGAAAGTCCCCTCCTCTCACTGTCCTCCTTTTTCGTTTTGGTTTTGATTTTGGTGTTACTGGGGGTTGAACATAGAGCTGTTGAGTCACATCTTCAGATCCACAGCCGGATTTTGTTTGTTTTGAGACAAGTTGCTGTATTGCTCAGGTTGGCCTTGAATGTGCAGTCCTCCTGCCTCGGTCTCCCAGAGTGTTGGGATTTTTTTTTTCTGCAGTGCTGGGGATCAGACTCCTGTGCTAGGCAAGTATTGTACCTCTGGTCTCTAATCCGTAGCTCCTTAAGTTCTTTCTTTTGTTTACTTGTTAACATAATAACATCATAACTTAGACTACTATAACAAGACACAAGTGCTGATGAAAATTATGATGTATTTAAATGTTTAAAAAATTTTACAGTAGAAGACACATTACCATTGATCCACCTCAAAATCCTCCCCCCTGCTTCAAACACTCTTATCCCACCCTTCTTGCCACTTCCTGAAGTATTTCTGGAAGTCCTGTTTCATAAGGTCTTTCCAAGGCATGATCAAAATTATGGTAAATATTGCTGCTGAGAGCCATCCCACAGAAAGGCAGGTTTTTCAAAACATTATGCTGACTATGTTTTCAGGAATGTCGTTACAATTCATAAAAACATTATGGTGTGTATTTACCCACCTTATTCACCAAATCGTGCACTCTCCAACTTGTAGCTTTCCTCAATGTCATTGAAAAGTAAATGTTTTGGGGCTGGGGATTTAGCTCAGCGGCATAAGCACCTGCCTTGCAAGCAGGCGGTCGTGAGTTCAATCCCCGGTACCGATACAAATGAAAAAGACAAAAAAAAAGAACAGTAAATGTTTTGAGTATATCCAGGACATTGAGGTAGCCATGACAACACAACTAAAGACAGGACAGAAGACTTCCAGAACTGCTTTGTAAAGTAGAAAAATCAATGGGATAAGTGTGCTTGAAGTGAGGGGAGGTTGGTTTTTGTTTTGTTTGTTTTTGTTTTTGTCTTTTTGAGGCAGTATTTCACTATGTGGTTCAGGCTGGCCTTGATCTCACTTTGTAGCCCAGGCTGGTCTCCAGTTTGCAAGGATCCGCCTGCCTCAGCCTTCCAAGTGCTGGAATTACAGGAGTGCGCCACCACACCTGGCACTAAGGGAAGTATTTTGAGGAGGATTAGTGACAATGTATGTGTCTTTTACTGTAATAAACTTTTTAAAAATTTGAACATGCACCATATTTTTCAGTCACACCTTATAAAATAGACTGTAGGCTTAAACACTTTTTCCCTCACAGCTCTGTAGGATAGTAAATCGAAGATTAAGTTACCAGGATGATCAGATTCTGGGAAAGTCTGTCTGTTCTACAGACAAACTTGTTACAGCATCCTCAGTTGGTGGACAGACAGAAACAGAGGACAGCGGAGAGCGCCCTCTGGTGGTGGGGTTTTATAAGGATACTAATCTCATCAACAGGGCCCCACCTTCCTGACCTCACCTAAAGCTAACCTCCCAGAGGCCTCATCTCCAAATACCATTGCAATGGGGCTTAGAGCTTCAACATAAGTTTTAGGGAAATACAATTCAGTCTATAGCAGCCTTCTTGCATTTATGGTACTGTCATCGTGTACCTCAGTTTAGTGCTCATTGTTTACTTGGTTCATTGTTTATTAGCACTTTTTCTCTTTTTTTTTTTTTTTTTAGCTTAGTGCATGGTGAAGCACTTTTTCATATTACTACACAGCCACATGATGATCTTCACTTCCTTTCTGTTTTTGGTTTTTTCAGACAAGGTCTTGCTATGTAGTCCAGACTGGACTCGAACTCACTAAGTAGCCCAGGCTGGCCTTGAATTCACAATCATCCCCCTGCCTCAGCCTCCGGAGTTCTAGATTACAGGCATGCACCACTACTCCCACTTTGTTTCTAAGGGCTATTTATTAGTTCACCAAGCACCTTGCCTCCCACAGACTAGTTCAGAAGGGAAGGGTTGCTATCTTTTTAAAAAGAGCCCAGTTTAGGACTAACATGCAGGACTCGAAGAAAGCCCAAAGTTTTACCTTCAAGCAAATTTTGACGAAATTCCTCAACAGTAAATGTCATTCTTTTTACATGATATGAAGGAAAGGAGCTAAGATCTAATAGATTTTTTTTTTTTTTTTTTTTTTTTTTTTGTCTTTTTCGGTACCTGGGATCGAACTCACGACTGCCTGCTTGCAAGGCAGGCGCTTATGCCTGCTGAGCTAAATCCCCAGCCCCTGGCACTAAGATCTAAATCCAGCTCCATTCTGCATTCCATGCTTTTGTTCAGTGCTTTATATACATTAAGTCCACTCCTCCCAGGTACATCCATAATTACCTGCCTCTTTGAGACTGGGAAGCTGAAGCTGAGGGGGGAGACTGTCCAGGATCACAGAGGAACTTAGGGTTGGAGGCAGGATAGCTAAGGAGGCTTCTCACACTCCAAACTCATCCTCGTTATCCCTGTCTTCCAATAATGCTTCACCAGGAAGCTGAGAACTTTCTTATGTACTTGGGTTAAGTCTACAAAGTTTTTTTCTAGATTTAAGTAGAAAAGACAAGTATTGTAAGCTTTTTTTTTAAAAAAAAAAGGTGTTATCTCCTTTGTGCATTAAAATAATAGCCTCTGCCTTGAACTAATTTTTTTTTTGTCTTTTTTCATTTTTATCAGTACCGGGGATCGAACTCATGACCGCCTGCTTGCAAGACAGGTGCTTATGCTGCTGAGCTAAATCCACAGCCCCTTGAACTAATTTTTCAATAAGCACTTATTGAGTACAGAGGCAAAAAGAGGCTTGTGGGTAGCAGTGCAGGCCTAGAGTTAAACTATTTTGGGTTTAAATTTTCATATTGTAGCTATAGCCATGTAGAGTTATTACACATATATGGACCTTTTCCCCTCATTTATAAAGAGCTAATGCTGGGTGTGGTGGTGCACACCTGTAATTCTAGCAGTCAGGAGGCTGAGGCAGGAGGATTCCCACAAATTCTCGGTCAGTCTGGTCTACAAAGTGAGTTCAAGGCCAGCCTGAACTACATAGTGAAACTCTGTCTCAAAAAGACCAAAATAGAAGAAAGAAAACAGAATAATTGTACTTGTCAATGAAGTTGTAAGGATTACATAACAATTTAATTGAGCTGCAAGTCCTCAACACATATGAGTTGTTAACGTGTTGTCAATACTGTTATTGTTGATGTTGAATTATTAATCTGTTATCTTTATCTATTCTTGTTCTGTTTGTACCTGGGATTGAATATGGACAAGGCACTTCCTCAGACTTTCTATTTTTCATTTTGGGACAAGCTCAAAAAGTCACTAAATTGCCTGTGTTGGGCTTGGACTTGCAATCCTCCTGCCTCAGCTTCTCACAGTGCTGGAATTACCAGCGAGCACCACAGCACCTAGCACTCCTTAACAGTGATGTTGGTAATTCTCAGCATTATGCATGTCGACCTGCTGACATCCCTGCTAACATCTTGACACATTGTTTTGTACTCACTGGCTTGTTATTGACTCGTGGCATTGGTGTAAGTGTGGAATTGTTCCTGGCTGTGTTGAAATTAGCGTTGGTGTTGTCATGTTGTGACTCACTGATGTCCTTGTTGTCGGCCACTTGATACTGTTGGTGTTGACACTGCTGTGACTGGTTGGGGTTGGGACCTTGTTAGTACTAAGCTTGAAACCTTGGTGTTAAGCCGTCTGTTTCCGTCCCCAGGTGGCTCACTCGATCCTCAAGGCCCACGCCAGAGCCTGGCACCTCTACAACAGTCGCCATCGGCCCCGGCAGCAGGGCCGCGTGGGCCTGGTGCTCAACTCGGACTGGGCGGAGCCTCTGTCCCCACTGCAGCCCGCGGACCTGGCCGCCTCCGAGCGCTTCCTGCACTTCATGCTGGGCTGGTTCGCGCACCCCATCTTTGTGGACGGAGACTACCCCCCTGCCATGAAGGCCCGGATCCGGCAGCTGAACGGCCGCTGCCCGGGCTCCGTGGCGCAGCTCCCGGAGTTCACCGAGGCCGAGAAGCGGCTCCTGCAGGGCTCCGCAGACTTCCTGGGTCTGTCCCACTACACCTCCCGCCTGGTGGGGAAGAGCCCGCAGGACTCCTGCGCCGCCAGCTATGAGAACATAGGCGGCTTCTCCCAGCACGTGGACCCGGCCTGGCCCCGGACCGCGTCTCCTTGGATCCGCGTGGCGCCCTGGGGTATCCGAAGGCTGCTGCGGTTTGCATCCGTAGAGTACACCAGGGGGAAAGTCCCCATCTACCTGGCTGGGAGTGGGGTGCCCACAGCGGAAGGAGACAGTCTCTTTGATGACACCGCCAGAGTGAGCTACTTCAACAGGACCATCAACGAGGTGCTGAAAGGTGAGGATGTGGCCGTGCTGTGACAGGAGGGGGGACACTGCAGGTCCTCGGCTTAGTGGGACAGAGACGACTCCCAGGGGGGGAAAAACCACAGGAGCAGCACTGGCAGGCCATCCTTCTCGCAGGCCTCCTCCTGTTCTTTTTTTCTGGGCTCTTCTTCCTGACCACATCTTCTCCTGTGTCCTGCCCATCTGAGTCCTAACCAGTCAGCCAGACTTACCTTTGAATATGTTTAAGTAAAAACAGTTACTGAGGCCTGGGGGCATGGCTCAGTGGAAGAGCATTTGCCTCGCATGTGCAAGGCCCCAGCACTAAAACTATGTTAGTATACAAAAAAGCGTGTGTGCATGCATGTGTGTGTGTGTATAGAGAACTTTAGTTGTAAAGAGGGTGCAGTGCCTATTAATGTGCTAGACATCGTGAAACATGAGAGGTACAATACTGAACACCTTCAATCTAAGGGGGGACAGAGACAGAAACACAGCATGAAAAGGGATCCCTTAAGTCTCCTCTCACTGCCCCAGCCCAGCTCACTTCTGTGTCCTTTACCTGTCAGAAACATCTACATTCCATGTCATTCACCATGAGCCAGTTGACCCAATCTTTGTTTTTTGGTATCAGAAGCCAAACTCAGGACCTTGCACTTGCCAGGTAGGCGCTGTGCTGCTGAGCTATATCCCCAGCTACAGGCTCAGTCTTACTAATGTACATTTCATAATATCTTTTTATTCCAAGTGGAAAAAGAATAGCAAATAGGTTTTTGTCCCAGTCCTAGTCAACTGATAGCAAGTAGTGAGCTGTCTGCATAGAGGGCCATGTTGAGGTTTCAAGGTTTTATCTGAATTCTGAGAGAAAGGTGATGAATGATACCTACCTGTCCTGGGCACCTCCCCAGTTCGTGAAGCCAGACACCCTTACTGTACTTACATTTGGGCTTTTCTCAGCATTTATTATAATTCCTAACGACCCTGGCATTCCTTCATCTCAGGTGACCTTTGAAATAGCCTCATGAAGTAAGGAGTAGATAATATCCTCACAGGACGACTGCAGAAGGTCTTTGTAGTTCCACACAAAATAGGTGCCTATAAATGAGCGATTTTATCTACCTCCTTCTTAGATGGGTGGGAGGTTGGTGCCATGGATTGAACCCAGGGTCTTGACACTGAGCTATATCCTCTGCCCTTTGTTTTATATATATATTTATATATTATTGATTGATTGATTAGCTCCTTATATACTGCTAAATTGCTCAAATTTGCCTTTCTCCTGACTCGGCCACTCAGAGCATGGGCATCCCAGGTGTGTGCCATCACGTTCCTACGGTCAGTCCGTTCGTTGGGAAGTTACACAGTCTGATAAAAATAGGCCTTAATCCTTTGCCCATGCCATGGGTTTCTACTTTGACTCTGTTGGTTGACTCATTAGGTTGTTGTGTGACAAGTTAGAGGTAAGGGGCGTAGACTTCCTGAGGCTGCTTAACAAATTATCCAGACTTGCAACTTAAAACAACAGCAATTTATTGCTTCACAGTTGTAGAGGTTAGAAATCCACAAGCAAGGTGTTGGTAGTGTTACTTTCTCTACAAAGGCTGTAAATGGGGAGACTCTCTTGCCCCCTCTCAATTCTGGTGGCTCCTTGCATTCCTTGGCTTGTGACTACATCATCTCTGCCCCCATCTTCACATGGCCTTTCCTCTTACAAGGACATCTGTCGACTGGGCTTGGCGACCCAGGCCTATGCCTCCAGCACCCTAGGGTACTGAAACAGGAAGATCACAAGTTCAACTTAGTATGCGCAACTTAGTCTCAAAATTTTAAAAATAATAATTTTAAGAGACTTAATGGATTGATTTCCATCCTCCATGTCCCCTGTCCCCCTATGTTTTATTCATAATAAAATGAAGCTCGATATAAAGACCCTGGGCTAAAGCCCTGTGACCACCACAAAAAAATGGACACTTTTCATTACATTTATAGTTCATCTGGTTAATCCACAGTGGTCTTATTTTGAGATTATTAGTTTAGTGACAGTTGCCCACCCCTTGTGGTGGGGAATGGAACCAGGGCCTTGCACGTGCTGGGCAAGTGCTCTACCAACATGCACTTTCAAGGTTACATTCACAGATACCTCGGATTTGACGGCTCTTCTGTGAGGTCACCATTCAACCTACTGTACATTCTTAAGTATTTGTTTTTTAATATGGAGTATATCCTCGTTTTAATACTACTGAAAGCAAAATACATTTAAATGATTAAGTGATTTATGCATTCTATACCAACTAAAGGATCCTACTACAAGAAGGTGGAGTGTGTTCTATTCATTTCTTGCTGGGTGGGTAGTTGGGACACATTTCCAATCCCAGCTGTTTGTCTGAGGTGGGAGAACTGAAAGCTCAAAGCCAGCCTCGCCATCTTGGTGAGACTGGCTCAAACGCATGAAAGAGAGGAGTGGTAAGGGTGTAGCTCAGGGCTCCCTGGGCTCAGTGGTTAGTACTGAAAAAAAATTAGAGATGCTTTTTGGGGTTGAGATTTAAGATTTATGGCCACAGAAGTAGCCTGATGTTTTGGAAAGGTGTTGTACATTTCCATTTATTCATTCTAGGGAAGAAAAGGGTTGAATTTTGAAGAAAATGAAGTCACCTCCAAAACTTTCATATCAAAGGAAAACTTTCTTTAAAATATCAACATCAGTAAGACAGACTTTATGTATAATTTTTCAATAAAAATAACTTTGTTTTAAAATATATAATCTCAGCTGGGTGCAGTGGCACATACCTGTAGTTCTAGCTACTTGGGAGGCAGAGGGAGGAGGATGACTCCGGGCCAGCCTGGAGACTTGGTGAGTACATGTCTCAAAATTTAAGAGGACCAGGGACATCACTCAGTGCAAGGCCTTGGGTTCAATTTCCAGTACTGGAAAAAAAGCTGTGTTTGTTTTCCTGCACAGCTATCAAGGAGGACTCCGTGGATGTTCGTTCTTACATTGCTCGGTCTCTCATTGATGGCTTCGAAGGCCCCTCTGGTTACAGCCAGAGATTTGGGCTTCATCATGTCAACTTCAATGACAGCAGCAAGCCAAGGACTCCCAGGAAATCTGCTTACTTTTTTACCAGCATCATTGAAAAGAATGGTTTCCTCCCTAAGGGAGAAAAAAGATCTCCACCATCTAAGATGGCAAACTTCCCCTCCAAAATCCGAAACTTGGATTTTCCATCTGAGGTGCCCTCCAAGGCTAAAATAGTTTGGGAGAAGTTCTCCAACCAACCCAGGTTTGAGAGGGACCTGTTCTACCATGGCACCTTCCGGAACGACTTCCTGTGGGGCGCGTCCTCGTCAGCCTATCAAGTCGAAGGGGCTTGGGACGCAGATGGCAAAGGCCCCAGCATTTGGGATAGCTTTACACACACACCCGGGAACGAAGTGAAAGACAACGCCACCGGAGACATAGCCTGTGACAGCTACCACCACCTGGCAGCGGATCTGAATATGCTGCGCGCTTTGAAGGTGAAGGCCTATCACTTCTCCATATCCTGGCCTCGGATCTTCCCCGACGGGACCAGCAGTTCCATCAACAGAGCCGGTGTTGAATATTACAACAGTCTGATTGACGGCTTGGTGGCCAGCAGCATCTCTCCCATGGTGACACTGTTTCACTGGGACCTGCCCCAGGCTCTCCAGGATATTGGAGGCTGGGAAAATCCTTCCGTGACCGAGCTGTTTGACAGCTATGCAGACTTCTGCTTCCAGACCTTTGGTGACAGGGTCAAGTTCTGGATGACTTTTAACGAGCCGGCACGCCAGGCGTGGCTTGGCTACGGCTCGGGGACCTTCCCCCCCAGCGTGAGGGACGAAGGCTGGGGCCCGTACAAGATCGCTCACGCCATCATCAAAGCCCACGCCAGGGTCTACCACACCTACGACGAGAAGTACCGGCGGCAGCAGCAGGGCGTCGTCTCGCTGAACCTCCACACACCCTGGGCCGAGCCCCGGGATCCAGGGCTCCCCAGAGACGTGCAAGCGGCTGACCGACTGCTGCAGTTCACCCTGGGCTGGTTCGCCCACCCCATCTTCCGGAACGGAGACTACCCCGATGCCCTGAAGTGGACGGTGGGCAACAGGAGCGAGCTGCAGCGCCTGGCCACCTCCCGCCTGCCGAGTTTCACCGAGGCGGAGAAGCGGTTCATCCGCGGCACGGCCGATGTCTTCTGCCTCGGCAGCCACTCGGCCAGGCTCGTGCGGCACGCGACGCCGGCGCTGACGCCGCCCGCCTACCAGAGTGACCCGGAGCTGACCGCGGAGGAGGACCCCGCGTGGGTGGCCACGGCACTGCACAGAGCCGCGCCCTGGGGCATGCGGAGACTGCTGACCTGGGTCAAGGAGGAGTACGGCGACGTCCCCATCTACATCACCGCGAACGGCGTGGGGCTGACCAGCGCGGAGGTGGAAGACACGGACAGGATATTTTACCACAAAACCTACATCAATGAAGCTTTGAAAGGTGTGTGTTCCCCTTGCAGAATCTTCCAGCGTCCCATATGGCAGAGGCCTGAAATTGTTCTTTAGGCTGCCTTACAATCTCTTTTATGCCCTAACTCGGTAATTCTTTACCTATTTGGGTTTATATATAGCACATCAAGAAGCTAAAAATATTGTTTTTCTCAAAATGTAAGAATGTATGTTCATGAATCCCCAAAGAAATATTTCCACAGGTCATTTATTCAATGTTGAGCAACTACTATGTGACAAGTTCTGTTCTAGTTCCTAGGAATGCTGCAAAGAACGAAACATACATTTCTGCCCTTATGGGACTTATATTCTGGTGGGTTCTGTGCACTCTGGAATAAGAAACTCGTCTTCAGATTCACACTGTTGTGCTTAACTGATCTAGTAGACTCAGGCTCTTGAACTTGAGGCATAGCTCTTTACCTTAACAAAAGAATTTGATTTCGAAAAGATCGAATACTAGTACTTTGTATATGTCATCAGAGCCAGCCAAAAGTAAGATCAGCAAGGTGATGGATTGTCTCTCAAGCACCTTACTCTGTGAATAAGTTGACGGTTTGGGGCTGTTGCCTTGACTGAGCAGCTGGCTTCTTGTAGCTCTTGCCTTCTGGGGTAAAGCTCTCTCTTCTGCTCCCTTTGGGATTTCCCCAGCCTACAGGCTCGATGGTGTAGATGTTCGAGGATATTCCGCTTGGTCTCTGATGGACAGCTTTGAGTGGCTGCTTGGTTACACAGTCAAGTTTGGTCTGTACCATGTGGACTTTGAGGATGTGAACAGGCCTCGCACAGCAAGAGCCTCGGCCAGCTACTATACAGAGGTCATTACCAACAATGGCATGCCGCTGCCCAAGGAGGATGAGTTCCTGTACGGAGAGTTCCCCAAGGGCTTCTCCTGGAGTGCAGCTACTGCGGCCTATCAGGTAAGAGCCATTCACCACCATTTTCTCATAACTGCCTGCCCGCCTACTGTGTGCCAGCTTTGAGCTTGGTGCTGGGGAGTACAAGTATGTGAGCAGGGGATTCTGGTGGACCACAGGGAGCCAGGCATGTGCACTGGATTCAGGCGACTCTCCATCTGGACATTCCCGCTGCTTCACCACCTCGATCTGGCAGAACAGTGGAATCAGGTGTCTGCAGATGCAGTGCGGGTAGCGTGGGCAGAAAGACTTGGGCAGAGGCATCAGCTGTCCAGTGTCTCTGCTGGATGCATTCACTCCTCACCCAGTCCTTCCAAGCAGGCAGTGCACAGACATTTGTTAACTAAGAGTCACTCAGATAGGGCACCTGTAATCCCAGCACTCTGGGAGGCCAAGACAAAAGGGTCATACGTTCAAAGTCAGCCTGGAAAATTTAGTGGCCGAACACCTATCTGCAAATAAAAAATGAACTATAGGTGTAGCTCAGTGCAAATACTGAGTTCAGTCCTTAGCACTGAAAAAAAAAAAAGTTAATTAGCAATTAAACTGTTGGAAAATTAGAAAAACTATTCATGTGTCCTGGCCAGCAGACTCAAGAAAATCCCAAATGTTGGTCTTTCCTGCTGCTCTGGCTAACACCTAACATCAAAGACTCCTATGAGGCAAATGGCAAGATTTCAAAGGCTGGATCTTGTTACATGTCAGGCAAACTGAGCCTGCTGTAGTAGGATTTCTTTTTTGTCTTTTTTGAGACGGGATCTCACTATGCAGTTCAGGCTGGCCTTGAGCTCACTTTGTAGCCCAGGCTGGTCTTGAACTCGAAACAATCCTCCCACCTCAGCTTCCTGAGTGCTGGGATTACAGGCATGAGCCACCACGCCCGGCTTTGTAGTAGGATTTCTTAATCAGGGCCTGATTGACATTGTGGATGGATAAGTCCTTGTCGTATGCACTACGGGATGTTTATTAGCATCTGTGGCTTCTACCCACTGGATGCCAGTCTGTAATTACTCTCCATGGCGATAGTCAGAAACGTCTGCAGACATTGCCAGCTGTTCCTCTGGGAAGAATGGTGTGAGAACCCGTGTGAGAACCCGTGTGAGAACCATTGCTCCAGAGATTTACAGCTGACCATTGGAAGGATTAGGATTTCTTCTAGGCCTTGTTTTTTTTTTTTTTTTTTTCAAACTAGGAATCAAATTCAGGACCTTGTGCTTGCCAGGGAGGCACTTTGCCACTGAGCTATATCCCTGGCCTGTAGGCCTTGTTGAATTCATAAAACCCTCGCCACACAAGGGCAAGTAGGGTCTTGAGAATATTTTAGTCAACTCACACCATGAATTTTTCCATTCAGTCAGGCATATAATCCTCACCACCTAATTGTCCTCATTAGCAAAGTGTGGGCCATGAACTAAGAATGGAACAGCCAGGTGTAGTGGCATACATCTGTAATCCTAGCTACTCAGGAGGCTGAAGCAGGAGGATTTCAAGTTCAAGGCCAGTCAGGCAACTTAGCAAGACTCTGTCTCCAAAAAAAAAAAAAAAAAAAGGCTGGGGATGCAGTTTACTGATGCTGCACCCCTGAGTTGGGTCCCTAGAACCCCAAGAGAAAAAAAGACAAAAGTGGAGTATGTTCCTGCGTTTGAGTTGCTGAGACAGGATTGGAAGTTTAAGGCCAGCCTGGGATACATAGCAGGACTGTCTTGAAAACAGAACAAAAGACCAAGATGAGAAGTGCTTAGTGTGGGGTCCCTAACTAGAATGATTGCTGACCCCTTTGGAACAATGGGAGTGCCTGCCTTTCTCCAATGAGCCCCAGCTTGCTTTAGTGGTGAATGGCAATTAGAAACCATCATCTCCGGACATGAGATGAGGTGTACCCTGCTTCCAGGGCATTACTACTGTACTTCTAGGCCCTTTGGGTGGACAGAGCTAGGAAATATGTGTAGATACACATTTACATATATTTTTACATCTATCCATCTCATTGTATATATGAAGCCATGAGTTCACACTTCTGATACCAATTCAGTTTCATAGGATTGATGCCAACCTTCTCATTTTCCATATTTTTGGTGGTTTTTTTTTTGAGACACGGTCTTTCATGTATTTCAGGCTGGCCTTGAACTTATGGTGATCCTCCTGCCTCAGCCTCCCAAGTGCTGGGATTATGTGCCACCACGCTTGGCTCCATTTTCCCTATTTGTATCTCCTTTTTCCAGTAGTGGTGAGAATTTAGCTTCTAATTTCTTCAATATAGTCTATTTATTCAACTTTCCTGCCTGACCTAATCACTTTACACAGACAGCTCATTTGGTGGGTGATCCTGCTGGTGCTGGACCCTGCCCCTCTCACTGCCAAGCCTGGACATGTGTTCTTGATGAAAATGCTGATGCTAGCTGAGATGTGTGCAGTCTCATGTCATTCCATTTTTTAAAAATATTTTTGCTGGTATGTGTGTGCAGTACGTAGCGACTGCACTCATTGCAGGCAGCTGGTACCTGCACGTAACACATCTTACTGCTGTGTTCATCCTTTCCCTTCTCTCCCTCCCCTCAGTCCATATTTACCCAAGTGTGTGAAATTACAGAAACTGTACCTATGGGACTACCAAAATGTGCAGGTAAGTTTTTCCAGTGGCTGTGGTCATTTTATTGCAGAATAGGTGGGAGGAGAGGAGGGGTAAACAGAAACAGTGACATGTCCTGACTAGAAATTTTGCCTCCATACCTAGTGTCCTTACGGTTTGGCTGTGGCTAGGGATGGCAGCAGGTGTGACATTTTTCAGATCTTTAGTGAGCACTGTTAACTACCAGGGCAAAGCGAAGGACTCGTCGACCTCCAGGTTTGTGGTGCAATTGGTAGTGCTCAGCAGCTAACACGGTTGATGGTGCCACAAGGAACAGAGTGGGCAGAAAGCGGGGGTGGGGGGGTTTCAGGAACTCGAGGGGGCCAGAGGAGACTCCCAGAGGAGGAGCTGCTAAGAAAAGCCCCGCCCTGGGCTGTGCTCTCTGCTGGAAAGGGATTTGGGTTTGACAGAATGACTGCATTAGGCCATGTTTTGTCCTTTTCAGATCGAGGGTGCGTGGAGAGCAGATGGCAAAGGACTTAGTATCTGGGACACATATTCTCACACACCACTGAGGATTGAAAACGATGACATTGGAGATGTGGCCTGTGACAGTTATCACAAGATTGCAGAGGACGTGGCTGCCCTACGGAACCTAGGTGTCTCCCATTACCGATTTTCCATCTCCTGGACTCGCATCCTCCCTGATGGAACCACCAAGTACATCAACGAACCAGGCCTGAACTTCTACGTGCGGTTCATTGATGCGCTGCTGGCTGCCAACATCAAGCCCCAGGTGAGGGGGACCTGGCCGGCGAGGGCCACACTCTCAGGTGGCCGCTAGCACGTGGAAAGCGCTGCTGGCGGAACTGCTGATCTGAATCTTTCACAGGTGACCCTGTACCACTGGGACCTACCTCAGGCGCTGCAGGACATTGGAGGCTGGGAGAACGAGACCATTGTGCAGCGGTTTAAGGAGTACGCAGATGTGCTCTTCCGCAGGCTGGGGGACAAAGTGAAGTTCTGGATCACACTGAACGAGCCCTTTGTCATTGCTTACCAGGGCTACAGCACCGGGGTAGCAGCTCCAGGTGAGGGTCCCGGGCTTGACTTGTTACAAGCTCGTGGGAACATGGCATTCTTAGCACCTTGAAGAGGTGAAATCCAGGGGGCACAGGAGGAGGCAGCCAGCCAAGTCCCATGGCAGTGCCTCAGAAACCCTACCTTTTGCTCAAGGCTGCAGGGGTTTCCCTTGTGACACATACATTAAACACAGATTTCACATCTCATTACCTCAGGTTAACTTCCTTCCTCTGCTCTGTGACTCTGATTTGCCTTAGGCGGGAAGCTCTGCAAGTGTGGGATGTGTGCGGATCCATGCAGGAAAGGGCAGCGTGTCGGGGTCCACATCCCGCTTTCCTGAAGTTCCCGTCACTGAGTCATATGACCTGAGCCCACTTAGTAACAGCGAAACCTGACTCACCTTATTCAGTGCCAGCACTCCTAAGTTCTGCTGCAGGTGCTTCACTAGGGAGTATGTCCTGACCTCTGCTGGGGTGACACACAGTACACATGCGATTTGTCACTTTTCTCAAACACAAAAAATATTTATTTCCCAGCAGAGTTTTGAGTAGGGGCTACAGACCTATCTTTACCCCTTGAAAGCCATCTGACTTCTCTTTCCTGTGTAAGCCTATGAGGTAAATCTGTGTCCATTTGTGTGATGATTCCTTGGGTCCATGTATAAAAGCTGAGAAGAGGCGTAGAGAGATAGGCCTCAAACCATCAGCAGCTGCCTCTCGCTGGACCTTGGCAGCACCCGTATGAGCAGCCGTTCTGTGCTGCTCCGAGTCTCCACCTCAGCTGCTGTTTCAGCTAGTGATAGTCCCCAACCCGAGGCATGTACATTGTAGGCATTTTGCCTGAGACATAGGGGCCATTCTTTTGGAGTAGGGGGACAGAAGCCAACATTACCCAAGTGCCTTCTCTCTGCCAGACACTATTTAATTTCCTTCTTTTTAAAGATGTTGACTGGGTATGATGGTGCAGACCTGAAATCCCAGCACTCTAGAGGCTGAGGCAGGAGGATCATTGTGAGTTTGAGGCCAGCATGAACTACACAGTGAGAGCCTGTTCTCAAAAAACAAAACAAAAAATGTCTTACTAACACATTTGCAGAACATGGTTACATTCAACATGAAGAGTTGCTACACGTACAAAACATGTTTTATTTCCCTTCTCCCTCCTTTAATTTTCCACTACCTGCCATCCATTTAAGGAAAAGAAAAAAAAAAAAGCTAAAAGGCTACACTGTTTGACCAAAATGAGATAGCCAACTAGTAGGAGGCAGTAGTCAAGGGTTTGAATTCTAGTTTCCAGATGTTGAGATCTTTCACCCAGAGGGGACATCTGTATGCAGAAAGCTAATGCTCTTAACTGCATTCATTCTGTTGGCACCTACATTTGCAGGAATCTCCAATAGGCCTGGCACTGCTCCGTACATTGCTGGGCACAACCTGCTAAAGGCTCACGCTGAGGCCTGGCATCTGTACAACGATGTGTACCGCGCCAGTCAAGGTGGCACCATTTCCATATCCATCAACAGTGACTGGGCTGAGCCCCGGAACCCCTCCAACCAGAAGGATGTGGAGGCAGCTAGGAGATATGTTGAGGTACATTTTTTTTCTCTGACTTTTTATTCCTGTCATGGTCTAATGAAAACAGAATTAGACTGAGAGTCAAGATTTGGGATGTAGGCTCTGCTTTGCTATTACTTGATTGTGTGAGCATAAAACCACGTAACTTTTTCTTTTTGTTCCTCATTTCTTTTATGAACTGGAGATGAGATGTCTTACCTCATAGGTTTACTGTAATTAAAGTGATGAATTTTTTTTTCTTTTTTTGCCTTTTTACTTTTTATTAGTACTGGGGATCGAACTCACGACTGCCTGCTTGCAAGGCAGGCGCCTATGCCGCTGAGCTAAATCCCCAGCCCCAAAAAGTGATCAATTTTTAAGGGTTGGGTTTTAAGTACTGGAAAATTACTTGTACAGACAGATCTTACTAGATGTAACATAACTGGCAATAACTACAAAAAGAAATCCCATCTCTTCAGTCTCTCCAGCTCATGAGCTGGGCTGCACACTTCACTTCTAGATGTTGCCATTTCAACTTGTTTGCTCCAGCCTAAGAATTTCTTTGAGTAATTTAGATTCTGTGAACTTAGTACCACATCTAATTTGTTAATTACATGAGTTTGAAATAGGACATCTTTTGATTATAGAATTTCATCCCTAGGACTACATGTACTACTAGTACTAAGCAGGTGTTTATATAGCTCAGCTGTGTTTCAGTCTGGAATCCTGACAAGATAGCAGGAGGGGAATGGCCTCATTCACAGTATGGCTTTCCTCCGGATCCTGCTAGTGCCTCTCGGGGGTTAGAAGGCACACTCTTTCATGTTTTGGCATCAAGAAGTCTGCAGACTGTGGCACTTGGACTCTTTTGGAGGGACACCAAGCCCTGGTTTGCCAAATGTCACAAGAGAGCTTGACAGAGGTGGTCTAATTAAAAAGTGCATCCCTCATTTCAGATTCACAGAATTGGTGAATCAGAGCACTAATTCTCCCCCTTTAGTCAAACTCCCAAAATTCAGGAAACTGTAGGCTTATATCATTAGATTAAGCCATGTATTGGGGAGCTATGATCCTGTAGCCCAAGACTGTGACAGGCATATCTGTTTCCATCAATTTCCACAAAAAGATCTGGTTTATTACGTTAGAGAGTATTTAACTTGCAAATGGGAAGGGGACCAAAAGGTAGAGGAAGGTAAAATAAAAAGAATTATGAGTTATGCACATGTACCAGCTCCCTACTATGAATGTAATCGTAATGTACTGCAGACATGCACAATTTCTTAAAGTAAATTCTACCAGGAGCACACACATGCTCCGCAAGCCTCCTCTCACTGAGCAGAAGGCTGTCCTCACCTCACTCTTCAGGCATCAGGCAGCAGATGAGGGAAGCATATGGAGACCAAAACAGTCGCTCAGGCTCTCCAGAATTATATATTTGGCTGTGTGTGTCCCCCTAACAGTAGGGATGGCTAGGCCACACAAAAGGAAAAACTATACCTGTGCTATACCTCGGTGTAGAATACATGCTACATTGCCAATCCCCAGCACCAAAATCCCACCAAATAAAAGCTAAATAGTTTGTTTCTACTTTACGGCTTTAAAACTGATGCTTATAAAGCAACCTGGAAAAAAAATAAAGCAACCTGGGAAGCCAGGAAAACCGTGCAGCTCAGCCTTCCCCACATGTTCTGGTGGTTACTCAAGTACTTTGAGGAGGAATGATCAGGACCTAAGTTCAGCTGCTCTGAGGTGAGAGGGAATAGAGCCTACAGCTTGCTGGAAGCCCCTTCCTCTTCTGTTCTGCCCTCCCAAAGGCAGCTAGAAAGTGGAGTGCTAAGGCCCGTGGTCATTCAGTTCCTCACAGCAAGCATTCATTACTGAGAAATGGCCCTGCCCGAAGAGCCATAGTGCAGTGAAGCAGACCACACACAGACAGACCTGAGGGAGGGCGCTGAGGCTGCAACATGCACACAGTGACGGGCCGAGCAAGGATGAGGTTGGGGAGGGGATGTGCCTGCCGCGCAGGACTGAGCGCAGTGCTTAGTGCACCCACCTGTGTGAGGCGAAGGCTGACTGTCCTCCGCTCCCTGCAGTTCATGGGAGGCTGGTTTGCACACCCCATTTTCAAGAATGGCGATTACTCTGATGTGATGAAGACACGGATCCGTGACAGGAGCTTGGCTGAGGGCCTCAACAAGTCTCGGTAAGGTCTTATGTCCACAGTGGTGGACACATGGGTTGTGGAGAGAGGCAGGTTTCAGACAAACAGCCAGGCCTCTAAACATCTTGGTTTGCCGGGAAGATTCCACGTGATGGTACATGACAGCCGCTTAGCCCAGCACCTGGCACCACAGTGCTGCTGTGATCGCTGCACTTCAGAATAGCAAGGGATCTGTCCCAAGGGAAACCTCCTCTTAGCATCCCTACTACAGCGGTAACTTGGTACTGAATTGCTTCTCAGAGGTGCTACAAGGGTACCAAAAATCGTGTCAAATTGTTTTGGCTGGAAAGGGTAGAGTTATGCAGCAATTGACATCACAAGTTCTAGCTGATAAGTACCAAACAAGAACTGGGACAAGATTTTGTGACAAAATGCATAGGGTACAAAGTCTGACAAATTTTGAAGCAGCTAAGTACCAAGGTGTGACGGTACAAATTCCTCAGCTTATCTTGTCCTCTTTCATCCCTTCATTAGTGGTGACTACCAGACATGTACATTTTGTCATTTGGCCAGCAGGTGGCGATGTTTTGCACCAAATATCCCTACTTCCGGCTCACTCCGTTTCCAGTCAGGAAGGAATAGCAACATCAAGGGCAGCTAATCATTTATTTTTCTAAAATCTCTCACTGGTATTTTTATTTCCACTTAGATATGAGTAACCTGAGACACAAAGATTAGGGGCACGGTCAGCTGACAAAGTGACGGAGGTGAGATTTGAAACGCTGCCTCCAGGGCCCATGTGCTGCTAAAGAATCATCCTGCTTGCATTAGAGATGTGTGATGTTCACTGGCCTTAAGAAGCATACAAGTTCTAAGGCAGCTCATGTGACGATAAGCAGAGGAGGACAGAAGAAACTAAGCAGGCGTTCCTAGCATTTTTGAGTTTCTGTTAAGCTCCACGTCCCATAAAGCCCAGGTGTGAAGATTTAAAAATTCAGTTCCCACCTCACAACAGTCTTGGCCTATTTAGAGCAAATCTTGTTCAGCAGGCTATGCCTAAAGATCTGATGTGCCAAGTCTGTGAGAACTCTGGTCCATTTACACAACTTTGCTTAAGCACCTACTATGTGTCCTCTCATGTATCAAGAGGATCCCAAGTCTGATACTCCCACTGCTGAAAGACTCACTGGAAAGTCCGTCCTGGAATCCTGTTCCCCAATTTCCTCAGTATGAAGAAAACTCAGATAAGTTTGGGAGGGGGAGGTCTCGAAACTTCATAGACAAGGCAGACCACCAGTTGAGCCGGGCTTTGACAGTGACCAGCACTTGGGAAAGCAGAGATTGTTCCATCTAAGGGCCAGGAAAGAGCCTGGGTTCATGAGGAAGTATGAGGGGTGTGTGCAGCTAACAGCAGGCTGAACCTGTAAGGCGCCAGGCACAAGGTGTAGGGCAAAGGGCCTTTGTAGTGGCTGCCCACTGACCACAAAATGATTAAAATACAAACTCCAGATCAAGCTGCCCTCTTAAGTAGGCAATCATAACATAACACTGATGGAAACACAAACCCTTCGATACCAGGCCCATTCCTTCCTTCCAATGTGTCCTGACCCATCTTCCGTCAAAGATCATAATATACAGACCTTATTTAAAGCTTAAAGGCCTCTGGAAGCTAGAGGAAAACGTCCTGTCAAAGTGCAACTATAAACACATAACTTTAAATAATACAACTGCTCCTATAACTACAAGGCGATAAATGACCTAGGAAAAAGACATTCCTTAATCACACTGGCTGTCTCACCTTTGGTCCACATCCTCACACCCTCATAAAAACTCCAATCTCTAGGCTGGTCATGATGGTGCAAGCCTGTAATCTCAGCACTCAGGAGGCTGAGGCAGGAGGATCACTGTGAGTTCAAGGCTAGCCTGGGCTATAAAGTGAGTTCAAGGCCAGTTTCAATTGCATAGTGAAGCCAGTGCCTTAGAGACAAAAAGGGCCACCTGGTCAACCAACCACAACAGAAACAAACTTATGAAGGACAAATTATATAACAGAGAAGTCATCTCAAGGTATGTACCTCAGACATGCTCTTGATTTTGAAATCTATCATAAATGGTAAATACCAGAATCTCTGTGTTAACGTTTGAAGAAAACTCTGTGCAAGAGGATGGGGCATAGTTACCAACCAAGAGGAGGTCTTTTGGGACAGAGGGAAAAGAGGCTGTGCTGGGCAGGAAGACTTGGGCTCCCCACATCCTGGAGAGGCACTCTCCCCAGTAGCAGTCAAGTCATGGCTGTGGCCTAGAGTTCAATGTACTTCCTGCCTCTGACCCACAGCATCCTTGCTTCAAAGGCTGATGCTTCCAGTGTCCTCACCCTTATTGGCTCCCTCCACTCAGGCTCCCAGAGTTTACAGAGAGTGAGAAGAGAAGGATCAATGGCACCTACGACTATTTTGGGATTAATCACTACACAACTGTCCTGGCCTACAACCTCGATTATCCCTCTTCTGTCTCTTCCTTTGATGCGGACAGGTAAGTCTGCCTACAGGATGCTGGAGCAGTTCTGACAACAGAAAGCCCAGGCCCAGATCTTAACTTGGAGGCCTGCGCAGCCTCAGAAAGGGCCTACTAACTGCGCACACAGTTTGCAGGGTGCTCACAGTTCCTGAGAGCCCAGTTGCTGTCTCCTTTCCCAGGTCCTTCCCACAGAGTGGACTGCTCGGTTCTTTGAAAAACTTTTATATGGCAGTTTACAAAATGGCCTACACTCAGTTCAGCTGAGAGAAGGCACTCTCATCCTTTGAAAGACTGGAAAAGGGAGCATCAGAGCTAACCTCAGGGTACACAGGGAGCCTGTGAGGGCAAGGCAGTGCTTAACAAGGCCAATCCTTTGCACAGGTAGAAAACTCAAGAGTGTAAGTGGCTTACCCAAAGTCACGTCAACACTGAGGGGCAGCCAGATTGTGCAAAGAGGTTTTCAGGTCACTGATCCTTCTACATTTAGTATGACCCTTAAGCTTAGATGAAACCTAAGTGTTTTACTGTTATAAATCTGCTTTAAATTTTTTGTAAATAACCTTGTGAGATCTATAGAACAAGACCTAATCTTCAGTTTTTAATTCACAGGGGAGTTGCAGTCATTACAGATCGCTCTTGGCCAGCCTCTGGCTCCTCCTGGCTGAAGATAACACCTTTTGGTTTCAGGAGAATCCTGAATTGGTTGAAGGAGGAGTACAACAACCCTCCAATTTATGTAACAGAGAATGGAGTGTCCAAGCGTGGAGAGGTAGATCTCAATGACACTGAGAGGATTTATTATCTCCGGAGTTACATCAATGAGGCTCTGAAAGGTGAGAGGCCACCCCTTTCTCCACGGGGCCCCTCACCAATGGAGTGTCTACAGGAGGGGAGGCCTGCCCCATAGGAGCTTTCCTAGATCCATGTCAGCAAACAAATCCAGCTGCTACCAGACCTTAGTCCCTGGCCTGAGTTATCTGCTGCCCCTGACCATCCCTGGTGTCGTAACAGCAGGGCCTTCTGGAGGAAGGTCTAAGGGGGCTGGGCAGTGGTCTCCAGGATCTGCTCTGCAGGCAGAAACTGGACACCCTGAGCTCTATCCAAATAACTTGGATGGGACTGACAGAGCAAAGAAAGTGATATTGAGTCAGCCACTCCAGCCAAGGAAATGCTTAGTGTTCTGCTACTGATTTTCCATAGGCAGGAGTTGTTGCTCTACGGCTCTGACCCTGACCCTGACCCTGCTGGGGGAGGGGTAAGGTGGGGCAGTGGCACAGAGGTTAGCTGAGGGGTTCCACGTTCACAACTCCCACCAAGGCTTAGCCTGCCAACAGCCATGAAAAGGGAGGGCTGCCCACATTCACTATGCAAGTCGGGAGCACGGGAGAAGTGTGGGCAATTGGGTTGCAGGAGGCCTGGTGGCAAGGTGTCCCGAGACAAGTTCACACTCTGGCCTGTGGGTAGCTGTGCAGGATGATAATGTGGACCTCCGTGGATACACGCTTTGGACTCTGATGGACAACTTCGAGTGGGCCACAGGCTTCTCAGAGAGGTTTGGCTTGTACTATGTGAACCACACAGACCCTTCTCTGCCAAGAATCCCTAGAGCATCAGCTAAGTTCTATGCTTCCATAATCCGGTGCAATGGCTTCCCTGACCCGGCAGAGGGGCCTCACCCTTGTCTCCAGCAGCCAGAAGGTAAGGGGCTGTGGTGGGGACCAAAACCAAAGGCTGAAAGGACACATGGAGAGTTTTTTCAGTCTCTGTCTAGTTTATTACCTTCCTTCACCCCCTTCATTCATTCAACCAAGATTTTCTGTGAGTGCTGCAGACATTCTTGAGATGAAAGGACAGGTTAGGCAGGGTGATGTACACACTGGGAGGCTAGGACAAGAGCATCCCAAGTGTAAGCCCGTCCTGGGCAATGTAGTGAACCTATAAGGCTCTTGTTTGAAAACAAAAATTGAAAATAGGCTGGAGATGTAACTCGCTGTGAAGGCCCTGGGTCCAGTTCCCAGTACCACTTGAAAAAAAAAGAAACGTCTCTGGGATAGTGGGACCCTAAAGCAGGACTGAGGTCTAGATGATTCTTCCAGCCCTACTGCCACTTGCTGTGCCACCCCAGGCAAATAACTCAACATGTGCCTCTGTGCCTCTAGGCAGTCATGAGGTCTAAGTGGACTATCTCAGGGAGCCTCTAGCCTGCTGTAATCTCTCTGCCATCTTTCATAGAGCTAGGCAGTCATGAGGACCAAATAAGAGAAATGTGAAAACAGTCCTCTGCAGTGTGGTGCTATGAATTATGCAACTACTAGACATCCAATTTAGTTTATATTCTAATAGCCAATAGAAATTGAAAATATAAAGGTACTTAACTTTATTCAGCAGCTCGTAACATTCAGTGAAAGGGGTCAGGCACCACAGCAGCAATAATGGCTCTGGCTATGCAGATTTGGGGTAATGTGGTTTCTTAACTGTAGGGATCCAGCTGGGGCCTTTCTAGGGTTATGGAGATCTGCCAACTATCCAGATCAGCACTGGAACACAAACCACCCTTTGCTGTCCTCTCCTAGATGCTGGTTCCACCATCAGCCCTGAGAGAGAGGACGTGCCATTCCTGGGGTTGATGCTCGGCACCACAGAAGCACAAACAGCTCTGTACACACTCTTTTCTCTCATGCTTCTTGGAGTCTGTGGCTTGGCATTTCTAACATACAAATACTGCAAGCTCTCCAAGCAAGGAAAAACACAACCAAGTCAACAGGAACTGAGTCCTGTTTCTTCATTCTGACATGTCTCCAGCTCTTCAAATTCTGTAATGCAAACTTACTTATGGTTTGGTATTCTGCCCACACTGGACTGCTTCACTGAGGCTTCTCACTGTTAAAGAGATGATTTCAATCCAGAATTTGAGATCTCGATTAAAATGGAAATAATCTGCATCTTGTTATACTACTAGTTCATTTGGAGATTAGGGGAAACTGCAGGTGACTTATGGTTATGTATAGTTACTGAACATGTCTGTTTTAAGTTTCAAAGTTTTTAAAGATGGAAGTATGAATTATAAATGTTAAGAAATCAACTCCACTATGTTGCTGGACTGCAATGCTATCTCCTGCCTGTCTTCACACTCTGCTATCCTCATACTTTTGTGTTACTCAGAAAATAAAGTACTATGCATGGTGTCCTATTTCCTTGACAAAGTAGGTTCAACAAGTTATGAAATCATACAAATTATTTGGGCTCCTACTGAACTTTCTGAACTAGACCAAGGTTTTTTGCTTATTTTCCCTGAAGCAGACACTGAAACAGGTGAAGACAGGTCTCTGAATGACCCTCCTCATTTCTAACCACTGCCCATTTGATGTTGACTTTGGTTCTCTTGCCTATCAGATAGCTAAGCCCCTGAGCAAGGGACCTTTGTTCATTTAGCCTATTTCCTTTCTTCATCAATTTGTCACAGCTCTGAACTGCACATAGGTTTGTTTCTGTTTTTGGTACTGGGAATTGAACTCACAACCTCACTCTTGCCAGGCAGGCACTGTGCTGCTGGGCTGTATTCCCAGCCTGCATGTATAGGCTTTTTTTTTTTTTTTTTTTTTTTTTTTTTTTTTTTTTTGCCTTTTTTCGTTTTTATCAGTACCAGGGATCGAACTCATGACTGTCTGCTTACAAGGCAGGCGCTCATGCCGCTGAGCTAAATCCCCAGCCCTTGGTTTTTTTTTTTTTTTGTCTGCATGTAGGTTCTTGACTAACTCGTGTGTCAGGCTATCTCTGCAAATAGTATTCCTTCTGCCTAGGAGGTATTGTCTTCTGAAAATGCCTTCAAGTCTTTACTCAAATAATGGACTTCTTCCTCTGAATGGCTCCTCACCCAGGCAGACATTCCTTTCCCTACTTTGCTTATAAATGTCCCTCAGTAAAGCCTGATTGCATTACACTGAAATTATGTATTTCTCTGGTGCCATTTTTTGTTGTTGCTTTTTTTTTTTTTTTTAATAGTACAAGGAATGATCTGAGAGCCTCTACACTGGGGTCCTGAAATCTCAAGTGTGAATGAGATTTAAGATACTTAGGTAGCTTACAAAACAAAATTACAAAATGTTGTTTTGAAAATAAAAGTAGAAAAAAGCGCAGATACTCAAAATGTGTAACAGATATTGGGAAATGGGAAGAAAATGTTCACATGAGAAGGAGAACAAGGAAGGGGAAAGGAAGAAAAGGACAAAAAAAGAGTAAAAAAAATGGAAACAAAGCTTTTATAAATAGGAAAAAAGGGGTGGAAGGGAAGGGATGAGAATAGGGAAAAAAGTAGATATATCATGCACAGATACAACAAACTCCCTATGATGAATGTGATCATTATGTGTAGCTAAAATGTACCAATAAAATAAGGGGAAAAAAAGTCCAGATCCTGAGAAATTCTCTGTAAAATTCTACTGGAACTTTAGAGAAGATCTAATTTCTAAGTAAATCAAAGTAGAGGCCTAGGATATAGCTCAGCAGTACAGTGTATGTCTGGCAAGCACAAGGTTGTGAGTTTGATCCTCGGTACCAAAAACTAATAAAGAAAAGGGCAGGGGATGTAGGTCAGTGGTAGAGTACTTGTAGCATGTGCAAGGCCATAAGTCTAGTCCTTAGTACCATACACAAACACTGACTTTTGGCTGGATTTAAAAGTGACATGCTCAAAACTATTTCCTGTAAGCATTTCTTACCTGAATTGTCTGTAAGAAATTCCTACCAAAATGTTCTACTGCCATGAGTCCCAACCTGGCAGTTAAAGTGGTGTGTTTAGTAACAGAAAAAGCTTGTCAGATGGGGTGATTCTGAAAGTGGTATCAGACACTTCTTGGCAGGAAGATTAAGTATCATTACCTGTCCATTATACCTGAATTAATCTCAAAATTGAACATAACATGGGTGTGGGGGCACCAGTGAGATAGAAGTTTCACATATTAAGTTGTAAGAACTAGGGTAAATCTATGAGGGACAATAGAATTTTAAAATATATTATAAAACTAGCCAGGCCTGGGGGCACATACGTATTATCCCAGCGTTTGGGAGGCTGAGGCAGGACTGTCAAGAGCTTAGGGCCAGCCTGGACAACAAAGCAAGACCTTGTCTCAAAAAAAGGGGGGTGGGGAGGAGAAAGGCTGATTTTAAAGGTTGTTTGGTAGTACAGAATAGACCACTGAAGACTAGACCTAGCTCCAATATGGGAACAGACTGAGACAAAGGTTGCATGCCGAACCAGGGCAGGATAGATGATCGTCTAACTGGTGGGGGTCCACAGGTTAGCTCTTGATAATATCAGCCATGGGTCTGAGGGAGGCAGACCCCTTCACTGGCAAACAGATTTAAACATACAGATAAGGTAAACCAAAAAAAGTGAACTATGAGAATATGAAGATGCAGAAAATTCAGCTGAGTAGCAGGATAGAAAATCAATAGCATTTCCATACATACCAATAATAAACTGAGAAAGAAATTAGGAAAACAATTCCATTCACAATAGCTTAAAAAAAAAAGAAATATCTAGGAATTAATTAACCAAAGTAGTAAAAAAAAAAAACTTTTATAATAAAATTATGGTATTCTGAAAAAAAAAAAAAGAGACTGAAGACAACAGAAAATGGAAAGGTATCACCTATTCTTGGATAGGCAAAAGCAATACTGTTAAAATAGCCATATTACTTAGCAAAAATGCCAATGAAAATACAAAAACATTTCTCACAGACCTAGAGAATACAATTTTATATGGAACCTGAAGAGACCCTGAACAGCCCATCTTGAGCAATAAGAGCAAAGCATGAAGCACTGAAATCTCAGATTTGAAGTTATATTACAAAGCTATAATGATAAAAGCAGCAAGGTATGGTGGTCTGTAGTGCCCAGCACTCAGGAGGCTGAGGGAGGAGGATCACTGTGAGTTTGAGGCCAGTTTGGGCTACAAAGTGAGCCCCTGTCTCAAGACAGACAAAAACAGCATGGTACTGGCACAAAAAAAGACATGGTAATCAATGGTATAGAATTAAAAATGCAAAAATAACCCAGGCACCTTTAGCCCTCTGATTTTCAACAAAGGGGCCATAAATTGCACTGGAGAAAGAAGTCTCTTTAATAAATGGTGGTGGGAAAACTGGTTATCCACATGCAGAAGAATGCACCTAGATCTGTATCACCTTTTACGAAAATAAAATCAAAATAAATCAAAGAGGCACAAGCCTATAATCCCATCACTCAGCAGGCTGAGGTAGGAGGATGGCTGCAAGTTCAAGGCTAGCCTGAACTGCATAGTGAGATCCTGTCTCAAAAAAGACAAAAGAAAAAAAGGAAGTGGTATATACACAAAATGGTACACTTCTCACTCAATAAAGGGTAAAGCTGAGCCATTTGTAGGAAAATGGACATACTTGAGTCTACATTGCTAAATGAAATAAATCAAACACAGGTTAAGTATCATGGTTTCTCTTGTATGAGAAGCACAAAAGTATAAATAAAAGAGCAAAATAAAAAGATAGGAAACAGACTCTGGAGATGGAACAGGGTCTTGGGTTTGGGGGAGATAGGAAAAAGCAGAGAAGTAGTAAAAAGGATCAAGATTTACTATGTAAATATATAATTCCTCATGATTAACATTTATTATGTATTGTAAACATATACCAATCATTAAATTTTTTTATTGGTACCGGGGATTGAACTCACGACTGCACACTTGCAAGGCAGGTGCTTATGCCGCTGGGCTAAATCCCCAGCCCCAATTAAAATTTTTTTACAAGGAAGGAAAGAAAGGTAGCAAGACTTGAGCTGGGGATGGTACTACACACCTCTGGGAGGCTGAGGTGAGAGGATTACAATTTCAAACCTAACCTAGACGATTTAATAATATCCCGTCTCAAAAAAATAAAAAAGCATTGAGGATATAGCTCAGTGAGAAAACCCTCAATGCCACCAAAAAAGAAGTAAAAAAATAAAAACTGATAAATCTGTGGCAAAAGATTACCATCCACATATTAATCAATAGAAAATATTTACAATATAAGCTAGAAAGAGACTTTCTTATAAATCAAGAAAAATATGAAAACACTGCAGTTTCAAAGTAAGTCAAAATGACAATATTAAAAGATGGTTAGCTTCATTCTAGATGAGCACAAAGCATATAAACTGCATGTAAATTTTCATCTATCCTTTTGACAAGCATGATAATACAGTGTTGGCAAGAGAAAACATTTTCATAAACTGTTGGTGGAGGGTTGAATTTACACAGCCTTTCAAGTAGCCAATTTGATATCTTTCATAATCTAAGCCACAAAAACCCTTTAACTTAGTGAATTATAAAAACATATTCAACAAGTACATTCTCAAGGATGTTCACTGTAGCAATGACTGAAATTGAAAAACAAAACCAAACAAGACATTTCTAATAACCACTGAATGCCACCAGAGCATGGATAATAAGCTGGGGTACTTACATCAAGTAAAATGCCATTCAGCCCATTATTAAGAGTGAGGCAGCTATGTGATGACAGGGAAAGAGCTTTAGGACTATAAGTAAAAAAGCAACATGCAGGGTAGTATATATAATATGATCCCATTTATTTAAAAATAAAGATTACATATTTGTTTATATATGCATAAAAATTTTCTGAAAAATCACATAAGAAACTGTTAATGGAGTTTACATCTGGGGAATAGTAGTATGGGAGGCAAATGCCAGAGGGAGACTTCATATTATATTCTTATATACTGTTTTGGATATCTTACCATATTTTTAAAGAGATAAAATGGAGGAATTCTCCTATTAAAGATAATATATTTTATGCACATTTCTCTAAGATTTATATTTGATTTTCTTTTAAACAAACTGATTTGAGGTACTCAATGTTTTTATAAATGTGTAACAAGATCACATTCATTTGGCAGGTTTACTTAAAAAATTACACACTGCTGCAGTTTTAAAAGATGATAAAACTTTAAATAGGATTCTTATTGGAAGTTTTTCAAATCCACTTTTTGAATTATGTAAATAATAGGATCACTGTCAGACTGGGAAAATATAAGGGTGCAAATAGGCAAACTAGAATCACATATAACCACTCTTACCACTATTACTGTTTTGCTGTTTTCTTTCTTTACGCATATATTAATATGTAGTTCTATCTATATATAAAATGTATTTACAAAGCTGGTATCATAGTGTACCTACAGCTCTGTGGCCTGCTTCTTTTCCCCAACACATAATAGATGCCCAATAAACCATATGTTAAACTGAGTTACTGAATTAGTACTGTACCATTTCTCAACAAAAATTGCTTCTACAGAAAGCATTAGTTTTCCAACTTGTGAGTAAAATAAATACACTTTACGATGTTTCAACTAATCTTTATCTGTATCATCATTCTTTAGGAAAAATTATCAGAGCACAGTGTACAAAATATTCAAAGATCTACTGGTTTTCACTCCTACCAACAGCATGGCCTCTTTTCACTGTATCCTTGCCAACACTATTACCATTTTTAAAACTCACCGTTTTATCACTAGTGAAAACATAAAGCTTGCTGACTTTCTTCCTCCCATTACGAAATAAAGTCAAAACCGTCACATATATTGACTCAAAAGCAGTATTGTTCAATCTAAAAACAAAGCAAATACCACAAACCCTTTTTCAAACATCAATAGTTTAGTGGTCTCCACTACCAAAATTATGTGACTTGGTATGTTAATTCTAAGAATCTCTTAATAATCAGATCAGTAAAGGTATTATCATACTTCTTGTCCTACACCACCAGGTACTTTAGGTCCCAGAAGTGTGGTTACTTAAGTATAAAACATCAGAATAAAGGTGAGACAGAACACCAGGTTATAGACTAGGTGTTCTTAATCTGTTTTGTATCAGATGAGAACAAAGACCATGAAGTTATTCAAAGTAATGCCTCACTGACCTAGAAAAAACAGTAAATGCCATCAATGAGTGCCAGAAAATATCTTTCCTTCAGTGATATTTAAGATAAAGTAGTCAGCTATTTTACTAAGATAGTTTAGGAATACAGGGGTTCAAAGAAGCATGACCTCAACAGAGCCCTGTATAATAAAAAGATGCTTAAAGCAAAAATAAGATCATTTTGATTTTTGGAAAAATTTTTTATTCAGTATTTAAGTAAGATTAAAACCTACAAGATTTTGCTTGCAGCTAATGAGCAAAGAGAGAAAAGTTTAACATAAGTTATCATCTGATTGGCTAGTTAAAATGCTCTAGGAGTCAAATTACTCAGTGACATACCAGTTACTTTGTGTGGGCCTAAAGAGTCTTGAAGAAAAAGGTGTTCTACACGAAACATGTCATCTGAGAGTGCAGACTAAAGGGTATTTAAAGTACTAAAGAAGCAGCTGATAGAGGGAGGCCATGGCAGACCTTTTAATTCTTTTAGGCATCTAGCAATTGTTACTATATGCAAGGACCTAGCAGCCAGTTATTTTATGTCTTGGCTTTTTTGAGTTAAAACACTTTAACCATACCCACTAAGCAGGAATAGACACTTTATAGATCAGTTGGAAAACATAAAGCAGACCCACTTCTCCAGTAGAATAATAGAAACAATGATTACTATACATATTATACTTATTGCACTACATCTGCTGAGTAGAATTTCCATTCCAAGTGTTGTTTTCATCTTCGCCATCATCTTGAGTCTTTAATCTATATATCTTTCCCTCCTTTTTAAAGTCTTCCCCTCGTTTTTCCAGCACTCTTTTTCTGACTGGCTCCCTGTTATACAAAGAGGGAGAAAAGGGAAGATGATATAAAATGAAAATAACTGTAATTCAAAGATAAATTCCTTCAAACTTTCATTAGAAGAGTACAAGCAGCTTATTTTATCTCTTCTTTTTTTTTTTTTTTACTTTTAACTCCAAGGTAAGGGAGACAATTTTATCTACCAATGCAGTATCCTAGATTGTATTAGCCTTTTGGTAATTTATCAGTTTGCTAAGCCAAACCAACCAAACCATATTTGCTATTTCCAAGTCTGGTATTTCTTGATGATTTACTAAAATTTAGAAGAGTGGGGCCGGAGGTTTAGCTCAGTGGCATAAGTGCCCGCCTGGCAAGTGCAACGTCATGAGTTCAATCCCCGGTACCGCAAAAAAAAAAAAAAAAAAAAAAAAAGAAGAGTGTAACCATATGTTAAGTAATCTTTCCTCTTTTATTTATGCAAGCTGATAATTACATAACACCCTGGAGGCTATTCAAAGCTCTGGGCATGGTCTAAATGACAAAAATGGTTAATCAGTGATTTTTAATCCTCTCAAAATCTTTTAGGATGATTTACAACTAAAAACAAATAGGACTTCTGCATGTGAAAACAGGAAGGAAATCAGAGTGAAATTTATGCTAAAAAATTTTTGTGGGGGCTGGGGATTTAGCTCAGCAGTATAAGTGCCTGCCTTGTAAGCACACAGTCGTGAGTTCGATCCCCAGTACCCAAAAAAAAAAAAAAAAAAAATTTGTAACAATGGGAGAGACAACAGAACAAAACTTTACCCTCTTAGATGTATCTTCAACACATTTTTTTTCTCAATCTGACGTAAGAGTTCTCAAGTTCAGTACTAAAAAGGTCTACTTTAAATGCTATTCTAAGACAAGACAGAAGAATTCCTCCATGTCCTCCACTTAAGTATTGCCAGAAGAATGTAACTGGTTTTTGTTCTTAGTAGTCAAGAAATAAGTCAAGATAAAGACAACCAGTCTAGTCATAGTATCTATATAAATTACCTACAGACTCAATGGAATGCAAGAGTAGGCATCTCCCTACTGATAGGAGACAGAGGCAAGGATTTTCAGTACATAGCACAGGACTGATACAAGATGTTATTAAAGGCATGAAAGTGTTTAATGAGAACAAATACTGTATACAGTGGTACCTCATGATAAGTCTTGTGAACAAAACAATGTGAACAATTCTTTTCATAATTCCAGTCACCAAAAAATTGGATTAAAACCAAAACAAATTTAATGGTTACGTTCAGTGTTGACCTTATTTGGAAATCCAATTTGGTTCTTGTCCAATTTGGTCTCTGACAAGAATCATGGAAAAGATTAAGTTTATGAACAAAGGTACCAGTATGTAATGTAGTAACTATAAAAAGGGAGTGTAATCTTACTTTTTAGAAAAGTACTTCCTGTTTACTTGTTGTATGCTCAGTTAAGATTGTACATGAGTGAAAACTGTTAGTGTTACCTGTATTACCATTCAAACTTTGCTATCTACAATAAAAGTAAGGCCTCTTGATTTAGAGTAATTAAAAATAATCCTTAGAGGCATCTGTTTTAATATCTAATTTCCTCAATTTGATCCTTCTCTAAATAATCCAGAAGACTACTTTACAGCCACCAGATCAAAGAGCCACATGGGTCAAAATTATCTAAACACAATGACTCCTCTAGATAAATTATGTAAGTTAGTTAATGGAACGGAACAAACTACCTTACTAGGTAAAACACGATTAGCAAGAAAGGAATTACATATGGGGGGTAGGGAGTAATCTACCTTGATAGTTATAAAGGGAAGTTAATTAATGGAATGATTTTTAGAAGTTGCTTTCTATAGAACAGGTTTTAGAATACTTTCTACCACACGGGGATGAAGGGATGACACACATACACCAGTAACAAAGTAAAGTATCCATAACACAATTCTTTGTGTTGAAAAAGATATTGGCCATTACCTGAGTATTTTATAAATTGAGAAAACAGATATATACCTTTTTTCTGATTTGCCAGATGATGCAGGGTTTGAAGCTTCTGGGGGTAGTGTTCTCACCAAAGTTTGTGTAGAAGGAGGATTACTAAATAAGAAGTTGCTAATCAGTCTCCAGATGGCAAGAAATGGGTAAAGTACTGTCCCCAACAATGTCCAAATGTCTCCACTGGAGGACTGTACGATGGATGTAGCTGGTCTTCCTGCCTAGGAATTTAAATATAACAAACCTAGGTAAAGATTGTATCACCGTAATTACATCACCGAAGGTTCTTAGTTGCATCTTTTATTTGGAAAATGATATCCTATGGATTTTAATTTGTTGCAAGAATGACCACTTTTCCTCTATCCCCAAATTTATGTAAACTTCTGGGAACTCTGATCTTAAAGAGTAAATACACATTAAAAACAGTTCCCAATGGTGAATCTTCCTGCTGAGAAACAATGTTTCAAAACTCAGTGAATAAAAATGAAACATTAATATAGGGTTGCTTTAGGTGGGTGTTGGAGAGTGGAACTCCAGACTATGGGAAAATAAACTAACCAGGACATAGAAAACCAGGATCTCATTCCAGCTCTGTCACCTGGAACCTTGGTGACAAATTTTCTGAGCCTTTCTTCATCAGAGATTAAAATATTGTTGTAAGGATCCAACAGGATAATATATTTGAAATTGTTATTTTTATATTAAAATATTTTTTAAAGATACGGTAAAGAGCAGTCATATATAAACAAAAGACATTAAATCTATATATTAGACAGATATTTTACATTTGTTTTGTTTTGTTTTTACTTTGAGACAGAGTTTCACTATGTAGCCCAGGCTGCCCTTGAACTCACAGCAATCCTTGTGCCTCAGATCCCAAGTGCTGGACTTACAAACAAGCTTGCTAGCATATACCACCACACCTGGCCTAGTACATATTTTTCTTTTTTAAAAAAATTCTGTGACAGGATCTCCAGCCTCTTTTCATTTTTTATTTTTAAGAAGTCTTGCAGGGTCTCAATAAGTTGCCCAGGCTGGGCTGGAATTTGTGATCCTGCCTCAACCTCCAACAGTATACAATCATGCCTGGTTTCTGTATTGTTTTATTTTCTTCAGATGACTTTTTTTTTCAAATCCATTTTATTCAAACATACAGAGAAAGAAAAAAGAAACAAAAAATGACCAAAAAATTTTAAAGTACATCAACTGGGCTAACAATGGTATATACATTGTGCATTGTCATCCCCAAATCGTTCTCCTGATCACTGTTTATAGACAAAAATAAGTGAAGAAAAAACTGAAAACTAAACTAGTGCCTTGTAAGGACATGAGCAATAAAAATACAAAAAGCACAGAGTAAGTGCATAAAATTTATGTTTTTTTTGTATAATTTGGATTTTAATCACCCCAGGACAACTTTGCTTTTCCCTTCTGCTAATAAAAAAAAACAAACAGAAAAGTGTAAGGGGAGGGGGGTGGGGGAAGCATATACATACTGGTAACAGCACCACTGAAGCACTTGGGGCAAGTTCCAAATCTAGTAATTTCTTTTTATAGTCTTCTTTGGTAAATTCCCTCCTGGGAAACATGGTTGCTAATGAAAAATTACCGTAAGCGTTGCCAACAGTCTGTAACATAACGGTAAAAACCTTACAAATGTTAAAACTATGATACTGTATCATTCACAAGCATTAAAAATGATTGCTATAATTAAAACTGTCTTAATTCATAAAGTTTATATAAATGTAAACTGAAAAGTTACTTATTTAAAAAGCTTTTACAGTTGATAAGATAACCACAAAATAGCAAGAACAGTTTCAAAAACTTGATAAATAATCTGACTAAAAATGACAATTATGGACTGGTGTACAGCTCAGTGGAGCAGGAGTCATAGCATGTACAAGGCTGTGGGTCTGTTCCCAGCACTGCAAAAAAGGACAATTATGTATCTCCATTAAGTATGGCTGCAGTTATTCATTAGTTATTATTATTACTTGGCGAATGTATGTTAACATCTCATAAATATGTATTACAGATTATAGGTACTTCCTATTAAAAGTCCAGAACACACCAGTATTTCCCTTATACACAAGTACACCTCATTTTATTGCAGTTTACTGTAATGTGCTTTGCACAGACTTCTGTTCGCTTTTATTTAAGTAAGCTGAAGGTCTGTGGCAACTCTGAGTTGAGTACATTTGATAACACCATTTGCTAGCGACATGCGCTTGTGTCTGTTATTTTGTTATTTTTTTCCAACATTTACTTTTTTTAGATATGACTGCAGACTTTACAGACTACAGTATAACATACAACTTTTATATCCAGTGGGAAACCGAAAAATTTATATTACTCGCTTTATTGCAATGGTGTAGAACCAAACCTGTAGTATCTCTGAGGTATACAAGGGTATAATTTCAATAAGTTAAATGCCTCCTGTCTCAATGTCCATAATCTACCTATTCCACAAACATACTCTCAGATCCAGGCACTTACACCACAATTACCTTTACAATATTAAATCACTATACCTGTAAAAATCTTAAAACCACCACTTATTTTTCCCTAGAGGATTTCAAAGAGCCTAGTTTTTAACTCCCTACTCCCAATTTTAATTTTAATCTTCTAGTCATATATAGGAACATATGCAGATCATATACATAAACTGTTCTCAACTTTTAACATAAGGACTTACAAGAATATAAAAAAGTCATTGTACTGAAGTAGTTGTAGTTTTTTTTCTCAAGTACCCTCTCTTCATTTATCTGCAGTAGAAACAATATAACACAGGGTACGGGACACGGGGCAGTTTCAAGACAAAGAATAAATATGCCTATTTCGGGCTGGTATAAAACTTATGGAGAAAGGGTTTTTATATTAAGTTTTTATACTGTCCAACCCAGTTCAAGAATGCAGGAAGATAAGATTTTTCAATATCCTCTTGCAGCCTGTGAGAGACAAGACTTAAATGGGGGAAAAGGGGTGGTAGAAAGATGAGAACTTAACACCCAACTCCCTAATTTTAACCTTCTAGTCATATATAAGAACATACGAGAAAAATATCCGCATATATATAAATCTGGATCCAAAAAGACATGTCCAGAATTCATTCTGAATAAGGAACCAGACAATAAAAAAAAGGAAACTACTTATTTTCAAAGACATACAATGTAATATTGGAATACCCTATCTAGATTTCCAATAGGATCACATTTCAAAGGTAAATTCACAATTTACTTCTATGTGTCAATTTCTGCTTTAACATTTTCCCTTCTACATTTTAATAACTTATATATCCATTTTTATCACAACTCAAGACTTAAATTCACCTGTGCTGCAAACTGCCTTGCTTCTTCTAGAGGAGCATCAGAAGGAAACTGATTTGTAAAGGAAGAACCATCAGGCAGACGGAACTGAATTCTTGCAACAGTGCTATAAAAAAAATTAAAGTTAGTACCTTTACATATTCTCAAACTATATCATTAACAAATGGAAATGGAGGTGTACAAGAAATAAAAAGAAATGTGCAATGGCAATAGATTTCACGTCAGTTTTTCATTTATTATTTTATTAACACTATATTGAGGCAAAATTCACGTAACTCACCCATTTAGTATGTACAATTCAGCGATTTTCAATACAGCTGTGTAACCATTACCATTATTTCTAGAACACTTTACCATACCATCTCAAATAACCCATTACTAATTATTCTTCATTCCTCTCCTGCACTTGATCAATTATGTGCCTCTTGTGAATCATAGAGGCACATAATAGATTTGCCTCTTGTGAATCATACAACACATGATCTATATGCAGCATTGTATTGTCAAGGTTCTCATCTATGCACACATTAGTTCTTTATTTCCCTTTATTGGTAAACATTTTACAGTTTTAGGAGGTATACATTTTGTTTACCTATTATTCATTTTTAATGGCTACTTAGGTTACTGCCACATTTTGAATATGAGAATTATGAATAATGCTAAGAATATTCATATGTACAGGTTTTTGTGTATATATGCTTTCAATTCTTTTGGATATGTATTTAAGAGTGACTGCTAGGTCATATGGTAACTACATTTAACGTTTTAAGGAACTGCCAGATTGTTTTTCAAAATAGCTACACCTTTTGCCATTTTATAATCCCAATGTTAATGTAGGTTAAGTTTCAAATTCTCTCGATCTCCTCCTCATCAACATTTGTCAGTATCTCTTTAAATTTAGGCATTGTTTTCTCACTAGTTTTCTTTTCTTTCTTTCTTTTTTTTTTATTGGTACCAGGGATCTAACAACCACACACTTGCAAGGCAGGCGCTTATGCCGCTGAGCTAAATCCCCAGCCCCTGTTAGTTTGTTTTTGAAACAGGGTCTCACCATGTAGTCCAGGCTGGCCTTGAACTATGTACATTAGGCTAGCCTCAAAGTCACAGCAATCTTGCCTCCCAAGTGCTGGGATTAAGGCATGCACTACAATGCCCAGCAAGTTCAGGCATTCTTACAGATGCAAAGTGGTATCTTACTATGGAGTATATGTGCTTTTCTTTCTGCTTTTTGCTGTGGCTAGGGGTCATGGTTTATGTCTCTGTCTCCCAGGCTTCATGAGTTTGCATTGTTCATTTGTGATGGTTCACTGTCTAGTGCTTGAATTGATGGTGTCAATGCTCCACCCACATAGGGGTGGAGCCAGGATGTGATGTAATGGCAGAAAGAAGGTGTGTCTTGCTCTTTGCTGGTTCCCGCTTGCTGTTTGCAGACGCCATGAAAGGCAGCTCAGCCACGCCCGCCTGCCTGGGAGCCAACTGAGTGCGGACTGAAACCTCCAAAAACTGTAAGAAATAAACCTTTCCTTTCCCAATTTGGGCATCAGGTATTTTGTCTCAGCGACGAGTAAAAAGTAACTAAAACACTAGGCAAGTGATCATCACTTATAATTTTGTGTCCCCCAATGAAATTGACCATCTTTTCACATGCATATGGGCCATTTCTTCTTTGGAAAAATGCCCATTTAAATCCTTTCACTATATCTGAATTGAGCTGTCTTCATACTGTTAGGCTCTAAGTTTTCACATTCTGGATACAAGTCCCTTATTAAATATACATTTTGAAAATATTTTATCCAATTTTATGTATTGTCTTTTCAGTTTAGGAAACGAAAAGGTTTCAAATTTTTATGAAGTCTAATCTGTGTCCTTTGATGCTTACACCTTTAGCATAATGTCTAAGAATGCACTGCCTCTTCCAAGATCAGTTTCTTTTTTCCATCTAAAACCTTACAGTTCACATAGCTTTACATTTAGGTAGATAATCCTTTTTCTTTTTTTGGTACCATGAATCGACCCCTGTGCTTGCCAGGAAGGTGCTGTGCCTACTGAGCTATATTCCTGGTGGAATTTTTTATTTACTTATTTTTTGGCAATCCATTTTCAGCTAGCATTTTACATGGTGTGAGTTAAGGACCCAAATTCATTCTATTGTATGTAGATAACTAGCTGTCTAAGCATAACTGGTTGAAAACATTACTTTCCCATTTAATAGTTTTTGTATCACCAAAGCAATTTCTAGAAACTCAGCTTTACTAACAGTGACTGATATGTCCACCCTTATATCAGCATGACAATATCTCTGTCACTATAACTTTGTAGTAAGATAATTATTTATGGCATTAAACTCAGAGCCTACTAGGTAAGCACTCTACCACTGAGTTACAGCCTCAGCACCACGATCCTATACTTTTTTTAAAAGTTTATTATCTATGTATCTATCTATCTACATATCTACCTACCAATGTTGAGACAGGCGCTTGCTTTGTTGTCCAGGCTATGTGTCAATGAACTCACCATATGGTCTAGGTATAGCCTAGGCAGGAAGCCTCCTGAGTGCTCGAATTACAGATATGTCACCATGCCCAGCATTAATTTCTTTTTCCTTTTTGTTTTTTTGAGACAAGGTCTTGCTAAGTTGCACAAGTTGGCCTAGAAATCTCAATCCTCTAGCCCTGGCCTCATCAGAAACAGGGATTAATTATATGAGTGCAACATCATGTTTGACAGAGAAAACTATCTTTTCTTAGGCACTGGGGAATGAACTCAGGGCCTTTCTATTGAGCTACACCTCCCACCCTTTTTAAATTTTCAATTTTTGAGACAGGGTCTTGCTAAGTCACAAAGTTGCCCCGGAGTGCCTTGAACTCAGGCTGAGTCTTGACTCAGCCTCCCACAGGACTAACATTATAGGCATGCACCACCACACCTAGCTTAAGATACTGCTTTTTTAAAAGTCCTTGGAAACTGAGGTAAGAGGATCACTAAGAGTTTGAGGCCACCTGGGGCCAACATAGTGAATTCAAGACCAGCCTAAACTATATCTCAAATCAATCAATCCCACCTCAAATCAATCAATCAATGAATCCAGCGAGAAATACCTTCTTTCTCGGACATATGATTCCCTCTTGCCTTCCATTTCTGCCTGTTTGGCCAGCAAGGCAGCAGCTTTGGCAGCCTCTACTTCTTCCTTTGTCTTTGCAAAACGAGCAGCTCTCTCTGCACGATCCTTTTAATTAAAACATTGTTAGATGTAATTATCTTTCACTACCAGAATGACCTATTCACACATTTCCAACACAAGAAACAAATATATCCTTTCAATCTATGTGAACTTTGGTCATCCTGAATCTGACATTAATTTTATCAACTGTGTCAGAAACCACAGTTATTATTAGACAAGGACATGAATTTGCTCACCACTGTATCTTACAACCTGGAACAAGGTCTAGCACAGTAAATGCTCAATAAATATTTGCTAACTGATCAAATGAGCAACTGGTATTAAGGTAGGTTTATCTTTATATATATATTCCAACTGCTGAATTCTAAAAACAATTGCTACAAACCATCCAAAGGGGAGTGGGTATGATGTGCCTAAATCCTTTGATGTCTCCCAAAAACATTTTTTTATTTGAAATTGTTACATAATAACATAATCAATTATTAGCTTATTTTCTAGGCAATCTTTGAAAGTTGTCTTTACTGACAAATTCGTAACAAGAGAAAAGTAATTTATGAAAATCTAATTTTAACTATTTTAATCCAATATATAATTTCTAATAAACAGAAACACAGGACTAATATTCTTTAAAACACTAATGCCCACTATTTTTGTGTGTACTGCTGGCTATAACCCAAAGCCCTTATGCATGGAAAAATAATATCACAAAAACTGTGGAATTTAAAAAAAAAGGCTCACCAGTGCAATCTGCTGTTTTATACGTTCTCGTGCTGCCCTATCTTCTGCCTTCTCTCTGTTTCTTTCTTCCAGCATTCTTTTTGTCAATTCTTCTTCTTGTTTTCTTTTATAGTCCAACATTTCTTTTCCAGTTTTTCTCCTTTCAATTTCCTTCTTGATCTCTCTCTGAATCAAAGAAAAAGTAAATTTTATGAGCCAAAAACAAAAGTTGGTAATTTGCGCCCCAGGTATTATTTTGATTGCACAGAAAGTGGACTGTAGGATACAGCTGTAACAGAAGAACTTCATAAAAATAAAGATTAAGAGTTTTATTAAGAGTTTATTAGACAAATGGCTACCAACCTTTGAAATTTTTGCCAGTTGTTTTCAGACTATAACAGTCAGTGTAATCTGAAGGCAAGCAGAATTACAGGTCTTTTGGTTTTTAGGACAAATATGCATCCTTCCAGGGATGACCAAGGCAGTGTCCTAGCTTTAGCGACTTGAAAGGAAATGATAACTTACACATATTAGAGCTACAAAGAGATGATGCAGTGAAGTGCACATGGTGAGAAAAAGGGTGCATTAGGATACAGCGACATGACCAAAAAAGTTCAGCAGAGTATCTACATGTCTTTTTTTTTTTTTTTTTTGAAAGAGGGTCATGCTGTGTAGTTCAAGCTGGTGCTGAACTGGCTAGCCCTAAACTCACAGTGATCTTCCTGCCTCAGCCGCCTGAACGATAAAATTACAGGTATGTTCCACCATACTTGGCTTGAGAATATCTACCTATTTCTTTGTCACAAAATGGAATTAGTAAATTTGATCTTCTGCTTCCAGTCTAATAATTTTAGTTCAAGTCCTTTTTATACTTAATGTAAAGGACTTACTGCTAAGGGAAAAAAATAGTATTCCTAGCAATTTATAAACAAAACAAAATCATAAAGTATAAACTATGATCTGAGTGTAGACAACAAGTAATTCCCTTCACTACAACACTGCTCTTACATAGGAAATCATCTGGAGTCTGTCAAATAGAACGAAACAATCAAAACTTCTCTCACTTGAGAAAGGTAAAAGAACACTATGTGCATGGACTTTACCTGTTCTTCTTCTTTCCTTTTCTCTTCTCTCCTTTCTTCAAGTTTTTTTGTTAGTCTGTGTTTAAAAGAAAAAATACTGAGGCATATCACTTAAAAATAAAACACATTTAAGAGATAAGTACTTAACTATAACAACTGAAAAGGCTAAGGGTTTAGAGCTCAGCAGCACAAGCACCTGCTTGCTAAGTGCCAGGTTGTGAGTTCAATCTCTGGTACAAACGTAACATATTAAAATAAAAAATTGAGGAAAAAAATGAAAAACTATAAAGAAAGGCCAGGATTACAGGCACAGTCCATGACACCTATCTGATTTTGTACAGCATAACAAAATTTTCTTAACCAGATGTGCTGATGTGCAATAGTATGTCTACTGAAGAAAAAGAGAAGGATGCAGAAAGTAGGGAGAAAGGACCAAAACACTTCTCTAAAGAATATGAGCTAAGGAATTTAGAAGGAATAAAACTGGGAAGGGAAAAAGGTTTTAACTATCAATGAAATAACTGAGCAAAAACCACATCAAAAACACTGAAGCAATGTTTCTGAAAAACAAGATATTCACACCATTTCAAAGAATTTTATTAGAAAGGAGTACATTAATAACAGGCATCCAATAAATATCATCGATCAAATGATTAAACTTAATATCACTAATAATGTATACATCTGATGTTAGTTGTCCCTTGGTATGAATAATGAGGACAAACAATTGCCTAGGTAATGTTTTTAATGAAAATTTAACCAAAACCTAATAATGGCAGAACATGGATCAGATCATGGGACAGTCTAGAAACACCTACACCCTTCAAAAAATGTCCAATCATGAAAAATGCCAACAAAAACAAAGGAATTGTTTGGGTTAAAGCAAGCCTAAATTAAATGCAATGAACAATCCATGATTAAATCTAAATCAGGGGATTTTTTTATTATTTGGGGGCTATTGGGGGATCAAACTCATGACCTTGCGCTTGCCAGGCAGACACTTATGCCACTGAGCTATATTCCAGCCAAATTGGGAAATTTTTAAAGAAGGTAATATTGAGACAATTGGGAAAATTTGAAATACTGACACTGCTGATCTTACTGTATAATTTTATAATTTGTATCTATTTGCTCCCCACTTAGTACTGGGGACTGAACTTAGGGAGCCCTATCACTGAATTATACTACTACCCTTTTTTATTTTTTTGAGACAGGACCTTGGCTAGCTCAGGCTAGCCTTGAACTTTCGATCTTCTTGCCACAATCTTCTCAGTAGCTGAGGTCACAGATACAGACCATCAAGCCCAGTGAACCAATTTAGTATCTATTTCTTCTCTTCTTTTAAACAGTTCTAGAGGGATTGAATCCATGATTCACTCATGCTACACAATTGCTCTATTATCAAGCTACATCTTCATCTTGGCATGTACTTCTTAAAAGCCATTCTGCCTTCCTGGGCACTGAAAAGGACAGGGTTTGAGTATATGAACTGGGAACCAAAGTACTGGCTTAGGTTACAAATCCTGCTGAGGTGGGGGGTGTGGTGGTGCACACCTGTAATTGCAGCACTTGGGAGGGTGAGGCAGGAGAATCATTGCAAGTTCAAGACGAGCCTGAGCTATAAAGTGAGTTCAAGGCTAGCCTGTACTGTACAGTGAGACCATCTCAAAGATACCTCCTTCTCCCCCCAAAAAACCTCCTGCTATGAGACCAGAGATCCTGAGCTGTTCCTTTTTTTTTGGTCTTTTTCATTTTTATCGGTACCAGGGATCGAACTCATGACCACACACTTGCAAGGCAGGCACTTATGCTGCTGAGCTAAATCCCCAGCACCAACTGTTCCTTATTTTTAGGAGATACATGCTGAGGTTTTCAGTGGTTAAGTGAAATTATGTCTACCAGAAAAAACAAAAAGTAGCAATATGATTCTTTTAACTTTGAAGTCTGACACTTTTCTAAACAAAAAAAAATTGGATTCAATGATTATTTTTCCCAGATGTTTTCATGTAAATTCATATTTGAGGTTAACTTTAATAAAGCCCATATAGGGCTGGGGATTTAGCTCAGCAGCATAAGCGCCTGCCTAGCAAGTTCAAGGTCATGAGTTTGATCCTCGGTACCAAAAAAAGTAAAAATAAAACACATATAATAATGAAAAAATTCAAAAATTTAAAGAAAACAAAAAACATATATTTTAGTACTAAAGCTAAGAACTCTTAGTTCTGGAAAGATGGTAGCATGATAAACAACCGAGAAACAATCAAGATTGGGGGCATGGTGGTGGCATGCCTGTAATCCCAACACTCAAAGAGGCTGAGGCAGAAGGACTGTTGCAAGTTTGAGACCAGCCTGGGCTACACAGTGAGCTTAAGGCCAGCCTGAACTGCATAGTGAGACTGTCTCAAAAAACAAAAATAAAACAAGAGTGGGTGTCAAGATGATAGAATAAACTGCAAGAGTAATAAGATCCAAAATGTGTAACAGATATTGAGATAATGAAAGGGAAAGAAAGTGCTCTAAAGAGTATAACTATATGTATAAGTGTGCAAGATAACCACAGTACTAAGTTTTTGTTAGTTCATCAAACAGAATGGTTTGTACTATCATTGTTTGTCCACTTTTTTAGGCTTTGATTTTGTGACTTGAGCAACTACTTCTAAGATAACAATATGTAATTTATCAACTAGTGATTTCTTAGTTTTTTTTTTAATTTTGTATTATTTTTACACTTTTTTCTGTTTTGCTCTTTTCTATTAAAAAAAAAAAAAAAAGCTGCTGGAATACAGAAATGAAAGAGGAGCGAAGTGGATTCCCCAAGACCCAGCAAGGATCTGAAGCAAGAATTGAAGCCCATGGGGAGTGAAAAGTAAGACCTCAATGAAGAAGGTGGCAAGCGGCACTTTCTCCCTGAGCCAGGGCTACATGAGCGCAGCAGCTCAGATCTGCACACATACTATGACTACTGGTCTGGTCATACCCAGAAGCCAACCACCAGTGTAACAGTAAATAGTGGATATGATAGACTATAGTAGCTGGTGAGTTATTCAAATTTGGACATGCCCTAGGAGAAAGCAACTGGCCAGTAGCCAACTTGGAGACAGGCCAAATGAGTTGAGAGCTACTGCAGCCTGGCTCCATCTAGTGTCTCCCAGTATTGGGGTGAGGTAAAGAGCCAAGCTTCAGTTGGCAGGAGGTCTACCAGCTGAGTTGAAGCTGGCAGGATGCCAAGTTCAAGCAAAGCAAGCAGGAGGCACATGAAATATTACAGGCTGAACAAATTATTATTTCAGTCTTACGGCCAGAATCCAGTCTAAACTTCAGTGGAACTAAAGGTACAGGCTTCCTGGGATTATCTGCTCTCCGACTGTAAAGCTAAAGCTGGCTAGCTGCGATTAATCAACTAGAATCTGAGCTCCATTTGCCCACTCTGTCTAGCAGTGACAGCAGAGACATCCTCTTAAGTACACATTATTTGCCTTGTTTAAATTTTGGTTTTATTTTCTTCCCCCAAAGCAGGGATTCCCTATACAGGTCAGACTGGCCTTCAACTCACTTTGTATCCCAGGCTGGCCTCAAACTCAACCTTGCACCTTCAGGTCCAGCCTTCATTTTGTTTTCTTTTTTTCTTGATTTTGTTTGTATATAAGATTGAACATTGTTTCTAGGGTTTGTTTTGTGTTTTTTTTTTTTGTTTGTTTGTTTGTTTTTTTGCTGTTGTCGTCTTCTACTGTTTTTCTTTCTTATCTTTTCCCTCCTTTCTTCACCAGTTTCTTGAAGTTCAAATAATCATCCTTTGTTGTCCAGTCTTTCTTCTAATCTTTGTCTTTTCTCCTATTTCTCTATTTTTTTGGCTCCTAACACCTTTTAAAATTTCTTTCTTGAGAGTAAAATCACCATATTGAGAGAACATTTACTATATACAATTCTCTGGTTTGCTTTACATTTTGTTACTGTTATAGTTTATGTCTGAATGTCCCAACGCCTCTTGTGGTCTGGTAGGGCAAGCCTTCTTAAGGCTGCTGAATCTAGTGTTTGTCATTGGCTCATTGCCTAGTGCTGGGAATGATGGAGTAAGTGCTGCACCTGCCCTGGGGCAAATAGCTTGCATACAATATAAGGAAGGAAAAGACACTTGCTCTTTTCTTTTTGCTCTGGTCACTTCTGTATCTGCTGCAGCTGCCATGTATGGTTATCCCTCAGCCATGCCACCTTGCACTGGAGCCAGTTAAGTATAGACTGAAACCCCCAAAACTGTAAGCTAAATACACCTTTTCTTCCTTCATTTTGAGTGTCAGCTATTTTGTCCCAACAATAAGAGAAAACGAAGAATTTGGTACCAGTGGAGTGGAGACAGTGCAATGTATCTGCTCATGTGATTCAAGACCCTTTGGAAATATGGCTTGTGGGAAGAGTTCAAAAAGGTACGGAGATGTTGCCTGAAAGAGTAGCACTGGAACGACTCAGGCTGTTCTGTATAGACACCTGGTCAGAGCTCAAAAGAACAGAAAAGCAGTAAAGACCAGGCTCGGGAGGCTTCAAGTGGGAAGAAGGACCACTTTGGTCGCTGGGAGTCCAGATGTGTGTTATAGCTTGGCAAAGTTTGTCTGCATTTTGCTAATGTCCACAGACTGAGATTAAGGGTGACAGACTAATCTGGCAAAAGAAATTTCAAGACAATATTGAAATGTCAAGGAATACTGAGGTGATGGCATGACTATTGTTAGGGGCTGTTAGCCAGATTTATGTTGCAAACCAAGAGCAAATAGCCCAGCAGAATGATTTAAAATATTGAGCATCTGGCCAAAAAAGAAGCTCCAATAATGCGAAGAATTGTAAAGATAGATATGAAATCTTGATTGCTGAGAAGGAACAAAAGAATAGAAAAGATGGCCTGGGAGCATCACAAGAAGCAGCAAATCTCCAATCTTAGAAGACTCAAAATAGAAACTTTGCTTTGAGGAGAAAGCCACAGGGTACCATGTTCCAGAATGGTGGTAGCCACACTATGCTCCAGAATGGTAGCAATGGCCACATTCGTTCCAGAATGGCTATCATATGCAGAATCCGTTCCTCACA